AATTAATTAAATATATAAAAGAATTAAGCTTTTTTAATGTTAATTACCTCCTTATTTATTATAAACTTAGCCCTTATTTTTATTAATTAAGTTGCTAAGTATTTTTAAGATAAAAGTTTCTTAAGATAAGGAAAGCCTTAATAAGCTGCTATTATTCTTTTTAAATCTTATTATATTAGATTTTATATAATTATATTATAGGTTTATAATGCAAAAAGACTTTAAATATATATTATGGGCTAGCCTTGGGTTATTTATTATAAGGTATTTAAATAGGGTTTATATTTAAAGTGCAAAGGAGAAGGTTTGCTCCCCGTTTATATCCGCGCTAAAGCCTATTTTTATAAGGCCAAAGCCCACTAACTAATCATAATGAGCAAAGCCTAAATCGTAATAATTTAAGGCCTTAGCTATATCCTTAATGTTATTTAATATAGTAAAGATTATAAAGGGGTTGCAAAGATAATAATAAGGATATAAGATTAAGAAATATTAAGGAAAGGCTATAAAGGGGTTGTAATGCTGCTATAAAGCATTTAAGTATTTTGTAAAATTATTAATAATTAAGAACTTACTTAGGAAATAATATATTATTAAAGAAAGAAAAAAAGGAAATGAGTAAGGGGTTATAGCTATTTATGCTTTTTAGCCTAAATTCTGCTACTTATATAAATAGTTTTTTACTGCCTTTTTATTTAGAAAATAATAAATAGGTAAGTTAAGAACTTTATAAAAGAGTTATAAGGTAAAAAGAAAAATTTCCTTTCCTAAGGATTTTTAAGTATGGGTATAATATTTATATTACTTAATATAACGTAAATAAGTAGCTATATTATTGTAAAGAGATTGCAGCGTAAGGGTTTTTTTTAGCTATTTGGTATGGTTTTTCCCTATAGGTAAATTAATAAAGGGATTGTATATTAAATGGTTTTTAGCTAATAATAGCTTAAAATAACATAAATAAATTATTATTATTATTATTATTATTATTATTATTATTATTATTATTATTATTATTATTATTATTATTATTATTATTATTATTATTAATAATATAAAACTTATAATAAATTTTTTATATTTAAATTATATTATTTAAAGTATTTAAGTTTCTATATTTAAACTTAAATTTATAAAAAATATAAAGATAAAGTATAATTAAAATTAAAACTTTAAAGATATTTAAATAAATATTATTATTTTAATTATATTAAATATAATAATTATTAATATTAATATTAATATTAAAATAATTTTTAATTAGCTTATTAAAAGTAATATTATTTATATAACTTATATAAAAAGTATTACGCTCTTTAATAAAGTTATAAACCTTATTTTTCTTTTTTATAATGCGCTTTATTTTAATATTTATATTTTAAAATGCTTTAATTTTTACCTTTATCTTAACAATTTAAGCAATATTTTAGCTAATAATAAACTAAGTATTTAAAAAGTATTATTAATATAATATAATTTAAAAAAGGGTTTCAAAACTTATTAATATCGCTATTTTTACTTTCTTTTTCTTTTTTAAAATCCTTAAAAAGCATAATTATATTATTTTAATAATTTAAAATAAATTAAAATATTATATACGTTAAATTAAGTTATTAAAAAAATATATGCTTTTAATTAAGGCTTTAAAAAGATTTATTTATAAAACAATTTATAAATATTATTTTTACTTATTAAAAAGTAATTAAAAAGTAGGCACTTTAAATTAAGGTTGTTAAAATAAGAAACATTAAAGGTATTTATATTAACATAAGGAATTAACTATATTCCCTTAACTTAAGATTTAAAAAGTAATGCCATTTTTTAAATTACTTACTTAACTAAGAAATTAAAAAATATATTAAGATTATTTTTAAATTACTTACTGAATTAAAAAATTAAAAAGTAATATTATAAATCTTTAAAATTACTTATTTAATAATGAAATTAAGAAATAATATTTATTTTATAAATTATATAATTAAATAATAAATTAATAAGTAAATTAAGCACAAGTATTTTTTATTTCTTAAAAATTAAAAAGTATTAATATTAATATATAGTTTTTTTAATTTATATAAAGATATTTTAAGCATTTCCTTATAAAATGCTCTTTATTTTAAAGAAACTAGCCATTACTACCATTAATTACTTACCTTAAAACTTTAAAATAAAGGTTTATATAAAGTAAACCCTTTTAATAATATTATTATTAAGCATAATACCTTAAATAATAATATATATCTTAAGACATTTAATATAAATTACTTTATAAAATTTAACTTTAATTTAAAAAATAATATATAATGCTTAATATATATATATTAAATTTATATATTAAAGTTATTATTAATTCTTTTAATAAAATTATAATAAATAATATTAAATATAATTATAAAAGACTTAAAAAATAATAATATATTTTTTAATAAAACAAAATAAAATATTTAATAAATTATTAAATATTTTATTATTATTATTAAATTTTTAATTAATTATATTTAAGGTTATTAAATAAAATAAAGTATATAACTATTATTATTAAAAAAGAATTAATAAATAAAAAAAAAAGTTTTAAAAGTTTTTAAAGAATATAAATTAAGAAATAAAGTATTAATTTTATTAAATATTTATAATATAAATATATAATATATTTTAAGTTTCTTTCATTTAATTAACTTAAAAATCAATATTAATATTTATTAAAACTCTTTATATAAAATAATAAATATAGCTTTAAATTTTAAAGAGCTTATTAATTAATTTATTAAAAACTTTAATTATAAAGTTTTAAAAGAATTAATTATATAAGAAAAGGAGTGGAAATAAATAAAAGATATAAAAGATATTTTATTATCTTTTTATATATTAATAATTATTTTATAAAAATGAAAATACCTTACTTTAAGTTTAATTTTACATTTAATTAAATAAATATATAAGGTATTATTAAATTTAAAATAATTATAAATTAAAAAAGAAAAAAAAGGCAAAAAAAGGTAACGTAAATATAATTAATTATTCTTTTATATTTTTATTATATTAATATTTATTTATAAGTATTATTATACCTTTATATATTATCTTTTAATTTAATTATTATAGCTAGTTTAATAAATTTAAATATTTATTTTCCATTTAACTTTATATAAAATTATAATAAAATTAAAAAATATAAAATATAAATTTTTTAATATTATTAAGCCTTAAAAATAATAATTTAAACTTATAAATAATATTAAACTTAACTTAATAATTAATATATTATTTAAATGATTTGTTATTATAAAAATTATAAAAATATATTTTTTAAATTGTTTTAAAGGTTTAATAATTTATTAATATTTATTAATAATTTATATAATAAGAAAAAAGATAATAAAGAAAATGAAAAATAACTTAAATTATTAGAAATACTTTTATAAGAAAAGCAATAAATTAATATATATATTAATTTAAATATATTAAATTTATTATTATAGAAAAGAAAAGAAAAAAAGATAAAAGAAAAGAATATTTTAAGCTTTCTTTTTCTTATAAATGTATTTAAAAATATAAAAAAAGAAAATAATTTAAAATAAAAAATAAATAAATATTTTAAAGAAAATATTTAACCTTTTAAAATAAGTATAATGCTTTTTTATTTAATAAGTTAAAAAAATACTAAATATTAATATTTAAATAAATTAATGTTTTAAAATAAAAAAATATAAATAAAAGTTTATATCTTTATTTATTTATATTAGCTTTAAAATATTTAAATATTTTAATTATATTTATTATAATTAAAGAGAATTTTAGTAATAAAATAAATATTATTATTAATATTATATAAATAGCTTTTTTAAAGCTTATACTCCGATGACGTTTATTCTGGTGTGCTGACATCGGTATTAAATACCAGCGACATTTAGCACAAGTTATGATCGGGGGAAGCAGAAGCCCATAGACCTGAAAGACATAACCCGACGCAAGAAGCTTGGCCTAATCGGAACCGGGAAACCTGAAAGCCACGACCATAAAATCGCGGACACCCTCTCCCACCCATGAGTTTGTACCGCGCTGCAAAACATGGCGTCAGTGCGCTCCCTGCCCAACTAATTCCTGGCTATAGAAATGAAAAGATAGGTGCCATGGAGCCCAATCCCCTGTGTGAAGTCGACCTTGACCCTGCTTCCTGGGCGTCTTTTATATATAGTATGCAGGTACGGGAGAATAGCCTCGGTGCCCCAACTCTGATGCCAAACATATCGGAAGCATAAGTTTCCAAGCCAAGGTCTGAGGGCACAGCTAGTGACGACATAAGGAGGTTAGTGAGCATGATCCTCATACAGTAAAAGGCGGACTGCCTGGATTGAGGTTGAACGAGGCATACTGCACAGAATCCACCCACGCTTCCATGTTCGTAGATACCAATTCAGTGGCGTCCAAAACGAAATGATATAGTATGGGCGAACGGCGGGGAAAGCAGGAATGCGAGGCAAGTAGTTTTTGTAAGGCCCCTGCCAGTCCTGGTTCTGTTACCGATTTCTCCCCGGGTACCCCGTCGGTACAATCGTGATCTGCCAAGCCATACAAGCCACGGACCCACACCACCACTACTAAAAACGTTAACTAAAGATTTTGGCGACACCCATTTCGCCTATCACGACCGGAGGCCTGAAGGCTGTGCTGCTGACTGCATATTGTTGCACAAGCCCCCGCTTTCTGCCAACCCGTCGTGACACGTCACGTCGGTATCTGTCACATTACCCGTCAACCTGAGAATCATAGCGATGGACTCAATCAATACTTCATCGCAGGATGCGAACCATCTCCTTTTCCCTTACAAGTTTCAGTTCATTATCGCACCCTATGAACATACCACCTTTCGCTTCCACTTCGCTTCTGCCTCGCTACCAGTGACCGTGATCTTTCTGCCCGACCGTCTACTGGGAAATCCTACCCTATTACAATCTTGTTATTCTATTATCGAAGATTATCTTTCTTACATTCTATTTAAAATGGATGGCGCTCTCATTGCCCAGGAAATACAAGCGTCCGCCCAGGCGATGTATCCGGCCTTGCCTCCCGACCAAGCCCTCCTCCAATATTACCGCGACCTATACAACTCTGTACCCGAATCTATCCGCTCACAGCTACCTGAGATCGGGGTGGCACTCGGTGAACTCTCTGGCATTCAGTACGTCGTCTTTTTATGTCGAATAGCTAGGATCCTCTTGGGAGAGAGCAAGTCCGGCACAACAATCAAGCGACCTATTCTTATTCCGCCTGTGGAGCAAAACAACATATCTTTTATTAACGGTTCCCTCAACTCGGACTCGCGGTTCGCAAACGCAGTTACTTGTGCCGCCTTCATCGGTGCTGCCCTTGCTGTAAAAGTGGGCAATGACGCGATCAGCCGTATTGGATCAGCTCTCGATGCGATCCGAAAAGAACTTTCCATTCAAAACATTGCCAAGGTTCAAGGCTGGGGTGAAGACGGCTTGGGTTATCATATTCATCGGCTCATCTTGATGGAAATCGAAAACTCCCAAACCAAAAGTGGCCTACACCTGTTCTACGTCTGGACTCCCGGCAATACAACCTGGCATGGAAGATTCGCAGAGCGATGTCGAGATTCACCCCTGGGTCGGCAATTCGGAGGCTACCATCATGATTTAGGCACTATTTGCAATCTCATGTGGTCAAACAGGAGGACCCTTGTCGAATTGTTGCCTCCCGGAAGGGATGCGACCTTCTACCTCTTAGTACCCTCGTTCGACACTATTGCGATTGATGATCCAATCATTTTCCACGAAAGTCTCCATCCACTAGTCGTCAAAGGTGACCTATATAGAGGTCATCCGCTGGTTTGGCTAAATCCTGCTCTGTGTCGCGACAGACATGTCTTACAGGGCGTCGGCGTTTTACCAGATATCACGATGAAAATCATGAATACCGGAAACAAGACATTTTTTGGATTCTGGCTCAGCGGCGCTGCCTGTGCAGCCACGATAGTAGTCGGAGCCTCGATATGTCCTCCGTTGCTCCTTTATGAGCCTTATTTTGCCTCGGCTTTGGCTTCCTCTTGTGTGGGAGGCATGACAAGCGGGTTTGGAACAATGGGAACTTTGGCATATTATGACCTTACCAAGCCGAGACCGCGAGTTTTAGGGCCACCAAAATTTGTGAACCTCGATATATAGTAATAGTATTACCGATGTTGAATCTTTTCCCCCCGACCATACACCACTGGACCAGGCTGTGCTGTCTGTGCGTCTGTTGTCCAGCTCGTTGCGCGCTACAGCATTGCGTCGGGTGGCCGCACACATTTGATTGGGCCACGTCGTGATGCAAAGGTGCACGCTTCTGCCGCGAATCGGAAGCACGAAGTCGCCACCCCTACATTTGGCCACCCCCCCCCCCATTTGGCCACCCCAGCAGACCCACACCGCTCTTTGGATCACGTGGCTTCTTTTCCATCTACACAACTCAATTCTTTTTCTCTTCCCGTCAAACTGCACACAAGTCTTCTTCGGTTAATTATGAAGCAATGTAGAGAGTCTCAGATCTCCGCTGCACTTATTGCCGTCAGAAATGGCCAGTCAGTTCAGAAGGCCGCCTTTACGCACGGCATTCCGAGGACCACCCTACGCCATCGAATAGGGGGTACACAAACACATCAACTGGCTGCAGAGCCCCAGCAAAGATTGTCTATTGACCAAGAGACTCATCTGACTAATTGGGCGCTTTCCCAAGCCTCTCTAGGCCATGCAGTTACTCACGAAGAGCTGCGGCTATTTGCTGGCCGAGTGTGCCAGGCCAATGGGGACTCAAAACCACTGGGAATGAAGTGGCTTGAGTCTTTTCTGAAGAGGAATCCCTCTCTGAAGTCAATTCGCCCTCGTTCAATGGCTGCAGACCGAGCCAATTGCTCTACAACTGAAGTAATTACCTCCTGGTTCAGATTTCTTGCCCTTCTAGAGATACAAGCAATACTTCCAACCAATAGATGGAATGCTGACGAAGCCGGTATATTTGAAGGATGGGGACAGAATGGCTTAGTTCTCGGAAGTACAGAGAAAAAGACTATTCAGAAGAAGTCCCCTGGAAAGCGTGGCTGGGTCTCTTTTCTCGAATGTGTGTCTGCGACTGGCCGCCGCATACCCCCACTGCTTATATTTAAGGGTAAAAGTGTTCAACAACAATGGTTCCCTCTTGAAAAGACTCAATATAAGGAATGGCACTTCATTGCTACACAAAACGCGTGGATAGACAATACTGTGGCTATTGATTGGGTTGAGAAAGTCTTTCTGCCAAACACTACCCCCAGCGACCCCCAACAGAAGCGATTACTTATTCTCGATGGCCACGGAAGCCACACAACTACAGAGTTTATGTGGAATTGCTTTGTCAATAACGTGCAATTGGTCTATTTGCCACCACACACTTCCCACATACTGCAACCACTCGATCTGGGGGTCTTCTCGTCACTCAAATCAGCCTATCGGAAAGAGCTGAATTATCGAGCAACTTGGGGGGATACAACAGTGGCTGGGAAGAGACAATTCCTCGAACTGTACTATACTGCAAGGGAGAAGGGATTGTCAGTGCAGAATATCACATCTGGGTGGAAGGCAACTGGTTTATGGCCAGTGTCTATTCGAAAGCCACTACTCAACCGTTTACTACTGGAGGACAAGAAATCAGCCAATCATACCTCGAATTCAGAGTCTCAGAAGGAAAAGCAACTCAAATTAACTATACTAGAAGAGACTTCGAAAGAATCGGTCTATTGGTTGACTCCAACAAAGCCGAAAGAGCTGCGAGATCAATTGCGGCTATTCGCCACCCAGAAACGCTCAGTTACTGCTGAGCGAGTGTTATTCAGGAAAACCTCAAAGGCCTACAGTGTACAGACACTCGAATTGACTATCGAACGCAATAGAGTTGAAGTGCTGGAAAGACAATTGGAAGCTGCCAGACCACGGAAAAGAAGAAGGGTCCAGATAGACCCGAATGAGAGGTTCGCTCAGATTGAGGCTGTCCACAGGGCTCAAATTGAGGCTGGTGAGGCTGACGATAGCTGCAATGAAGAGAGCGAGTCAGAATTGACTTTTGACGAAGAGGACTGTATCGTAGTTAATTGTTGAAGAAAGATAGAAAATAAATAAGTTGGGGTGGTTCCTTCGGCCAGCGCGAATTGAGGGTGGCCAAATGGGGGGTGGGTGGCCAAATGTAGGGGTGGCGACTTATGCCACCAATGGTGCATTGACAAGCACAGCGTCCGCGGGGTCATCCTCCAGCCAGCTCCCTTCCGCAGTGCTACCTCCCGACGTATTTGAGGTCGTTCGTTCTCCAGGTGGGTCTAGTGGCCCGTGCGCCCGGCACAACTGGTCCCAAACCTTATCTCGGCATCTGGGCATCTGTCTCAGCAGCCAAGTTCTCCAAAGTACCTCGACACCGACATCCAGCATGAACCCTGACTCAAGAAGGTAAGGACTACAGCAGGCTAGTGCTGGGCCTGGGGTGGGTGCCTGGTGCGCGCACCAAGCCACCGACCCGGATGTCCGCGGTTCAACGCAGCGTCTCATTGGTGGTGAACACTCCAGGAACCGGGCACCAATGCTTCCTTCCTACGAGCGCGGCCTGATCAAATGGGGTCTAGTAACCTGTTTAGATTACCCTTGTGTCTCCAGTAAGGCGAATCTAGGTCCAAGTTGTGCCTGGTAACCTAATTAGAGACACATATGGTGTCTAGTAACCGAACTCCTGGCTGCCACCATGCTTTTGTGTCTGGTAACCTTCTTGGGGGCATAAATCGTGCCTAGTTAGGGCTGTTCAGGTATTTCCCTTTTCTAGTAACCTTGCTAGAAGTTTGCATCATGTCTGGTAACGCCGCTCCGTGCAGTTCATGGACAACTGCGAGCATGTCATGAATAGCTGACCCATATAATGAGCAAAAATGTCGTGTATGCATAATGGCATGCGAACGTAGAGGCGTGTTATGATGTGCTCAGGTACCGCGCCGTCACAGACGGAGACAAAGTCGTAACGAAGCGGAATCCAGTACCCAGAGCCCGAGTACAAGGAGGTCCTCGATAGAACTGCAGGACTTGAAGCCTGCTTCCTGCAGAAGCTGCAGGTAGGCTGGTTTGTCGCTGAGTAGCTCATCACCAAAGAAGATCCATGTCATGTTATAAGGTAGTCGCTATTGCACTGCAATAGCGGTTCCGCTTTTGCGTCACAATCCACCACTTGTCCGGGCCCTCGTTTGGACCCAATAGCCACCTGAGAAGACTATCTTCCTTGGGCGAGATATCAAGCTCCTGGATCTCGGGGTCTTCTTTCTTGTTCTGGCATGCCCCCGGAAGGTGTCTTGGGTGGCGCAGGGACTCGAAAAGCTGCAGTGCAGGAACACTTGCGGGCAACACGGGCTTGTCGGATGGCGATATAGCTCCTGCAGTATGCCTACATCCTACCACGACATGCAGCATTGAGGTATTCGGAGCAAGTCTGACTGTGGAGGCACTGGGAGAATGGTGATGTACAGAGTGTGTGGAGATGTTGCACGTGGTTTTAGTGGAGTCTCGGGATCTACCGTTGAATGATCCACTTCGACGTACCTAGGTATCGTGCCATGTGCCTGCCCACGCGCCAAGTTCGGATGCTTGCTGCCTGAGGTATCCAGTTTATCCGCCGTACAAATGCCGTAACTTGCCCAACCGACCACTTAACTCGTCACCAGTTCAACTTCTACCCCGCCCAACCACGCCCCTTCTTTGACCTCACATCCCACTTCTATATTTTCTCACATGTTTCACAGCATATTTAAATCATTCTACTGCCTTGTGCCTATGCCCCGGTCTCTGCTGCGCACCCATTGCCACGCTACAGAATCTTCGAGCCTGGAGTGTAAAAAGCTGCAGGTTTGAACCTGGGCTTTGGGAGCAAGGAGTGAACTCGTCTTGAGAGCTGTTTGTGCGCAGCAGAATGCGGAGGACGTGGCACCCTCGGTTGATTACTGCATCGCACTCCGCAGTACGTCACAAGGTGGTACTTCTTCAATACGCAGCCGCACGTCCTCAACCTCGACAATAAAACCGTACGGAGTCAAGGCTGCTCCAAGAGGCAACGAACATATTTCAAAGCCTGGGTGGGTGGGCATTCTTGCGTGGTGTCGTACGCAGGGGATTCTTTTTGACTCCCGCGCTGAGTATCCCAGGAAGTCGCATGCTAACCCTTGGACATTATGTACGCAGGCTACTGGCTGAGGCCTTTGACGGGGTCCAAGACCTACTTGGGCTGAGATGGCTTCAGCGCCATTACCGGCCCTACGCGGGCAGAGAATACACGATTGCTCCATTAAACTCGACGATGACGATATCAACACGTCCGCACCCCAGAGCTCGCGCGAATTGTCTGCTTTCCCGCTTCCTGTCACGCTCCGCATCTTCTTCGACCCTACCAAACGCACTGCCTTCTTCCGCCTTTATACAAACGTAGAGCTCAGCATCGATACACAGACTCGCTCCACGACTTTCTACCTCGATATATTCCCTGACAAGGTCCACACACTGTCCCTGCACGGCCAGGATGCCCCTGGACCTATAAGAACGGGACCGCAATTAGCAACGAGATGCCTGAACTTCCACCTCCGCGCACCTGGCTCTATTAGACTTGTCGCGCCCCAAACAGTGCCGTTGGGCCCACTACATCCTGCCACACCCGCTGCTCAGGCCATTTTCTGTTCTCTGCGGCACATCACGACGCAATCTACCATCTGTGTACTACTTCCTCCGATCGCCGATGACTTACCGCTAGACACCTGCTGCCACGCTATATCAACGCAGGACCTTTTCGTGACCCCACTGCGCCCAGATCCCGGGCTGGTCAATTTACGCACACTGTATGGTGGAGAGGGGGGCCGAACCGTTGATATCGACCGGGAGCTGGCCTTGCCCTCTGCCGGCCCAGGATCATCGTCGCCCTCGGCCTTTCCGCCTCCCGCTTATGGCGCGCCCGCGTCCCTGGCCCCGGTGCCGTCGCTCCTGCCAACGACAGCCCCTGAGACGCCCCAAGGGAAGAAGAGGCGTCAGTCACGTTCGCCTCCGATCCCGTGCTCAGACTCAAGCTCTCCTGACTATCGGTTGTGGGCTCATCTCAACCTGGCTGTGGGTGAGAGGGAAAAGATGATGGCCGAACTGCTTAGGCGCGCAGATAAGAAAGAGAATGCATTGAACCAACTGTTGACTGAGGTCGCTGAGTCCGCTCGCCACCTGAGAGAGTTAGTCGCTGTTGCTAAGGAGAGCGAGGCAGCGCTGGGTGACCGTGTCCCTGAGGCAGAAAGGCAAAAGGGCGGGACGGTCTCGCACCAGGCGGCAGGACTGCAATCGCTAGTAAATGCGGCTACGCCGACGGCGCCATCCCCCCAGCGCTCACCCTCGTCGACTGTGTCTGTCGCTTCGAACATCTCCGACCGTGTCCAGGCCTACGTCAACGCTCGGCTCGAAGAGCTGGGCGAAGAAATCCGAAACCGGGGCTATGTGACGGCAGACGATGTGGACAGCGTCCTCTACGAGGGCGGGTACGTGAATGAGGATGCCATGGCGGAAGCTATTGAGGAAGCCGTCGACAGTGCGATGGACAAGGTTCGGGACAGGATCCTGGATGCGTTCTCGTAGCGCACACTAACTTGGTAGCACGCACTTCAGGAGCTCGCTTGGTCATGACAGGTAGGTGCATCTATTGGGTGTTTCTTGGAATGGTGTCTCACTTGGTCCGGTATCGCGTCTTATCCAATATTTGTCTAATGTTGGGCAGTGAAAATGGTCTGCGGTCTTATGCCCTATTGGCGAGGATTGATCGATAATTGCAGTAGTTTAACGTCGGCGCATCTGTTCCCCTGACCTAAGGACCTTGAGAATCACAAGTGGATTTGTATTTCAATTTATTTCAAAGTTTCGATATTCCCCAAGTCCCAACACCGACTTCAAAGGTCAACGCATGCAATATAACCCGTCAGTTTCTCTTCTTCGGTGGTCTTGTGAAGATGATATCCATGCAAATCCCATGGACCTTGTCGCTGTGGTTCTGAACATGCTTCTTATGGATCAGAGTCTTTTGGCACATAGGACAAACAAACATCGCGTCTGCAGGGAGGGCGTCGAGATGCAAAGAGATGAAGTGCCTAGCCAACTTGCCCGCTGAAGAGAACTCCCAGCAGAGACCGTTGAAGCTGTCGTGGTCCACGCCGAGCTGCTCTGCTTTGGCAACGCGGACAAAACATCTGAGGACACCATATTTGCCAGCGGACTCGGCGAAGACCGACTTCTTGATCTCTTCCATCAAATCTTGTCCCGCACTCGGCCCTGAACTTTCAAGGGTATTCATAGCCTGAGGCGCGTGCGTCGCCTTTTGGGACTTGGGGATCATCGTCGCCGCAGTAGTCCATGAGGCCTCGTATTGCCGTTGTGCGTCGCTGGAGCTCTGTGGTGTACTGGTTCGTGAGTGGCGCTTTGAGCAGGTCCAGTGCTCTCTGTTGCATACGCCGCCTGGGACGTCCACTGCCAGGATCGACTGGGATGAATGGTTCGCCCCGGGCGTGCCGCGCAATGTCTTCCACGCTTTGCTCATCACTCCATTTCTCACGGATCTGTTTCAGCTTGATCCTGCATATCGAGCCTCACGCTTGCGCCAATTCTCCCGGCTTGTGGCCGACGAGCTGGGAAGGCCAATGAGCTGGCTCGTAAAATTTGCATATTAACACCGACGAGTTCACTACAGCGATAGACGACTTGTGCCAAGCAATCAAGCCACCAGTACGGCCCAGTGATGATACCAACACCTCCAAGCTTGGTTACTTAGAATCCAGAGCAAGGAACAGGATTCTTCTAGAACTAGACCCGGAGAACCAGATCCCCTTGCAAGATTATGAAATCAACTCGCTCGAGAGCTTTCTAAAAGCTACACCACGGCGGGATGCTCGACTCAAGGTTGGCCGCGACCTGGCCCTTGCGATTCTGAGCCTCGGAGCTTCCTCTTGGACTCCGGCCACATGGACCGCGAAAGACCTGTTCCTCGTCCGGGATCCCGAAGTCCCCGTTCCGCAGCCCTATTTCAGACACGCCTCGCTCCGTGACTCGCTTGAAAGCAACGATCCCAGGTCAACCTCCACGCAAACTCGAGCTTCGCTCTTCGCAATCGGTGTGCTGCTCCTGGAGCTCGTTTTCAGGGACCAGTTAGAAAACCAGTCATTCCGCGCAGCGCTGATGGGAGCGGACATGATGCCAACCGCTGCGACTGACCTGGCCACGGCCTTGATGTGGCAGCAAAAGGTGGAAGAAGAGCTGGGCTACGACCTTGCCGACGCGATCAAGCGCTGTCTCGTGTGCATGTTTGAGCAGGCAACGACTCTGGATCTGGGGAATTCCAGCTTTGTTCAGGCCGTGTGGCAGCAAGTTGTAAGACCGATTGACTCGTTCCTCACAGCTTGGAATAGAAACTGAACATAGCTGGCCGGTTGAAGTTCATAGAAATCGAAGATTTCCGGCTGTTGAAGAATACCTACAACGCTGCGGTGTCATAACTTGGAGATTACGGTTTGTGGAAGGGACGCTCTGGTATGGGCACTGTGTTTTGAGGCTACTCTAAGGAGTTCGGCTGCTGACTTCTTTCTCTTATACCTGACGTGCGGTCTGAAAAGGATACCGTCGCCTGGTACACGTGTCCGTAGAGAATTCTCCCAAATTTAGCTTTTCCATAGTACAGTTGACAACCACTCTGCTGGCTCTGGTCCCTGGCTTGCATCATGATATGATTACGTAAGCGGTTTTGGAGTTCCGGGAGCTTGGGCCCGATCTGCAACCATCTCGCCATTCAGAGGGGCAGCATCAACTGCCTTCTTCAGCTGAAGCTGCAACACTCGCCTGCGCGGAGAGGTTCAACATGGCCGGTGAAAAGATCCCGTCCAACCAGCCGGAGAAGCTCAGCAATATCCTGAAGCAGGAGAAGCGCGACTATGACTGCACGCCATGTCGCCTCGTCGGCAAGCTCTTTCCTCCCCTCCACGCCCTGGGTCCCGCTGACCGATGGTCTCTTGTTTGAACAGGAGGCACCGCATTCCTCGGCCTCGCCGGTTACAGCTACATCTCCGGAATGAGCCAGCTCGAAAAGCAGCGCGCCGCGATCATCAAGAGCAATTCATGGTTGGGCATGCGCGGCCGGAGGATGGGCATTGGTGGTCTATCGCTGGGTCTGGCCTACTTGGGGCTGTATAGGCTGTTTGCGTGATTGAAGAGGAGGCACTGGAGGAGACATAAAGAAGAATCTCTGCTCAACAACTACAATCAAGCGCCGCGATGCGCCGCGATGCGCCGTGGCACCGCGGCCAACGTGCTCCACGCGCTTCAAGAATGCCCGTATGGGATATCTTTGGGCAACCTGTGCTCTCACGGGCTCGCGCAAGGATTGGAAAGCCAATGATGAGCGGGAAGAGCTCTGTTGCTCCTGGAAGGCTGCTTCAAGAGCCGCGAGCATGACAAGCTTCGAGGAGCTGTCGTCTAAAACGGTCCGTTCGCCGGCTGCGCGCAGCTGGCGGCGCGATAAGATAAGCCAGCATCTGGAATCGAACTCAGCTGTAAATGCTGCCGGTAGATGTACAACTTTAAGAAGTAATTGAAAAAGAAACAGACAGCATTGTGCCAACTTTAGGAAATCTCGTCTCATAAGGTATCTTGTCTCACAAGCCAAGTGTTTTTGTTTTGTGGCGTTGTTAGATCTTCGACGCCTTTCAGTCTTGCACTCAGAACCTCGAAATTTCAACGCTCACCTGGGGCGGCGAACCTCAATCTCAGAACCAACTCAGTGTTTCGAGACAAGAAGACCCACGGTCCCCCATAAATCACGCCCCGCATAGACCAACATTTCAAGAAAGCTACGGTATCAGTCAACCCAAAGAGACCACGGCTGATCGAGATCCCCAATCACATCTGAGCTGCGTCGCCAAGTGCGAACGCATCAACGCCCAAGATGGCCATCACAATCATACAACCCAAACCCGTACCACGGTACACAAGACGCACATCATCAGCCGCGTCAGACTCAGACTCGGACGATGGCGGCGTGGACATCGAGGGCGACATCAAAATGGCCACGGGCCGGCCAGCAGCCAGCCACAGCGACATCGTCACGCCGGGCGAGGTCATCACCACCAACCCGCAGTGGATGCGCGGCCACGGCACCTACACCAGCGCACAGGGAGGCGACGACGACGACAGCACGGCGATCGTGTCGTCCCTGGCGGGCGTCATCTCGCGCACCAACAAGCTCCTCTCGGTGCGGCCCCTGCGGGCGCGCTACACGCCCGAGGTGGGCGACCTGGTGGTGGGGCGGATCGTGGAGGTGCAGTCGAAGCGGTGGCGCGTGGACGTCGGGTCGGTGCAGCTGGCGGGCCTGCCGCTGTCGGCCATCAACCTGCCGGGGGGCATCCAGCGGCGGCGCACCGAGACGGACGAGCTGGCCATCCGGTCCTTCTTCGCAGAGGGCGACCTGCTCGTCGCCGAGGTGCAGCAGCTGTACGCCGACGGCGGCGCGGTGCTGCACACGCGGTCGCTGCGCTACGGAAAGCTGCGCAACGGGGTCTTCCTCGCGGTCGCGGGCACCGGTGGCGGGGGCGGGGTGGTGCGTAGTCGGAGGCAGGTCTGGACTATGGAGGTTGGCGCGCTGCAGTCTAAGATTGATGTCGTGCTGGGCGTCAATGGCTACGTGTGGATCAGCAAGCACGTCGAGGACCAGAGCCTGGCGGCCGGCGGGGGGTCCGCTGGTGGCGTCGGCGTGACCAACATGGAGGAGAGCGTCAGCCAGGCTGTGTACAGCAGCCAAAACGACTACATCGAGGTTGAGGTCATGAGGGAGATCACGCGGGTCAGGGGCGTCATCACGGCGCTGGTGGAGAATGGCCTGCGGGTGGACGAGGACATGATCATCAGGGGATACCAGGAGGCTGTAGAGATGGCGAGACTGGGCGACTCGGGCGAGGAGGATGTCTACCTGGGTGGTGAAAGAGGCCAACAGCTGGCCGCGGCGCTGGTACGAAGGTAGAGATGGCTAGACTCGTGTCCCACACGCATGGATCGAATTCAATGTCAATCGCATTGGTGTAATTATTCTAATACCGATTCCCCGCCCCAGTAACAACAACGCTGTGATATAGCCAGACCAATGAACGCCAGATCAGGGTATTTTACATGTCCCGCAAACCTCTACATACCACCGCTCATTACGTCTCCCCTCGCCATTGCGCGTCTAAACATCTCCGCGAAGCCTTGTGTGCCGTGGCAGTCACTGGCCTCGCGCTTCTCCATAGCCTTTGGCAGCCACCCAGTGATGCGCTCGATACGGTGCTGGTTCGACGGGTGGGTCGACGCCCACTCCGGGACCTCAATATCGCTCTGCTGGTGCATATGGTCCATCCTCTGCCAGAAAGTGACGGCCTCGCGCGGGTCATAGCACGCCTCAGCCATCATCATCAGCCCGATATAGTCAGCCTCGCTCTCCTGCATGCGCCCCATGGGCCGCGAGAACAGCAGGCCCAGCAGGTCTCCGCCAAACAGCCAGCCCGCGACGAACATGAGCGGGGTGGCGGCCAGGAGCATGAGGGCGGAGCCGAGGAAGAAGGACTCCCCGATGGACTGCGACAGACGCTCGCCAAAGTGCTTGGCGAGGTTGTGGGCGATCTCGTGGCCCAGGACGGCGGCGAGCTGGCTCTCGGTGCGGGCGAGCCCCAGGATGCCGCTGTAGACGAAGACCTTGCCCCCCGGCAGGACGAAGGCGTTGGCAGTGGAGCGGTCGTCGATGACGTGCACCTCCCAGTCGGCGCCGTCCTCGCCGTCGGCATCCACGCCGCTCACGGGGATGAGCCGCGCCATGACCCGGCGCACCATCAGCGTGCGCGGGTCCCAGTCGCCCAGGAAGCGCGCGCCCGAGCGCTCCATCTCGTAGATGAGCCGCCTGTACTGCATGTCCGACATCTGCCTGACCGTGTTCTCCGAGTAGCAGTTGAAGCGCCTGCGCCCGGAGACGGGCACCACCTCGAGGTTGTAGAAGTAGAAGGCCACTGCGAGGGCGATGGAGACGACGACGACGGTGTGGGTGCGCGGGGAGCGCAGGATCGTCCTGGCGTTGCCCCTGAAGAGGGGCTTCGCGTTTCGCAGGCGGTGGTGGTACCACGGGTCACCTAGGTTCGGGTCGTAGTCGTATTCTGGTGGTTTTCGCGGGTCCATCTGTCGGAAGGAAGTCGACGAGTGGGAGAAGAAGCGAGGGCTCCGTCGGGGAAGATGCGTTTGTATTCGGGGCGGTGGTGTGAGCATCGGCGGTGCTATGCGACGAATATGGGCGGGCATGGTGCCTCTTGGGAGCATGCGGTTGGGCAGAGGCCACTTGAGGCATTGTCGCGATGCCATCATGGCAGCTCGGGTCGAGCTGCGCGCGGATGGATGAGCTCGGGCTGCTGTCGTCGGCGTCGCTATGATTTGTTAGGATGGGCTTGTATATAGCTACGTGATCCTTGTTGCTGATCTGGAGAGAGAGACACGATGGTCAAGGGCAGCGTTGGCTTCATAGACCGTGAGTTGTATGGCATAACTGCTTTTGTTGTTTGTGGCGGGCGCATCCATGTGGGATGCGACAGCCCGGAGCAGCTATGGTGGGGTCGCTTATCTCCGTCCCGCCAGGTCAGCTCGGCTGAGGCAGGTAACACCCTACTAAATACGGTCTCAGGCAAACTTCGCATCTCGAAAATAGGCCTTTCGTTTCTTACCGATCTGGAGATCTTCCCAAATCAGTAGGAAAAGACTTGGGATAATTTTACAAGACCTCGTCTGAGGTATGTTGGGCGCTTGCAGGAACAGCAATGAATTTATCGTAATGAAGAATGCATTACTTCCTGCGTGCATCAGGCTCAGCAGCAGTCCAGGCCGCGGCAGCATCTGAAGAAACGATGAATTTCGGCGGCATTGACTCGGAAATTCCGCAGTGCCTGGGACGGCATGACGTCTTTGGGTTCAACCCCCCGAAGAACAATGGCCCTCAACCCCTGGACCCTGTCCTCTCAAGGCGTGGGGACCCAGCCTGACGGCGACAGATGAGCCGAGGTCCATCGCCGCTCGACCCCAGATTCTCGGCTCTCGCCTCGTGCCGTTGCACGACTTCGCCCATTCAACTCGGTGACATTTCCAATCATCTCACACCATCACATTCACCCTCATCCATCGTACCACCAACCAAACCAGCTCATCAACTCGATTCAGTATCTGAAGCCGGTTCAATCGATCTCAGTCCATCATTTCGCAGCCTGACAACATGTCGAACCAGTACACAGTAGCCGACGTCGCAAAGCACAAGGACGAGAGCAACGGCATGTGGATCATCGTCGACAGTGGCGTGTACGACATCACAAGTGAGCAGTGCCCGCCAACCCTCTATCTAATAACCCCCGACAGCCCTCCTAACGCATCTCAGACTTCCTCGACGAGCACCCAGGAGGCCCCAAGATCCTGAAGAGGATGGCTGGCAAGGACTCGTCCAAGCAGTTCTGGAAGTACCACAACGAGAAGGTCCTTGAGAAGTACGGCGATAAGCTCAAGGTCGGCACGGTCAAGGAGCAGGCCAAGCTGTGAGGTGGCTTGGGCAAGATAGCACTGAAGACTCATCTCTTAGACCTCGGTGGGATGGTGACTCTGGAGCATCGGCAGTGTACAGCTAGATCCAGCTAGATCCCGTTCGTTCCCTTTGGGGTATGGGGAGCAGCGGCGCCACAGCGATTCGGATGTGGACATGGAGCTTACTCCGTCGGCGGTGAACTTTGTTTGGAAGCGACGTTATATATCTACTGATCTACCTATTGTGCAGGATAGAAATGAGACCCTGTTTTGACAATCACATTGGATCAATACTCAAGCTTCCCTGCCTGCCTCCTCGATCAGCGTCTGAGCAAGCCATTCGGGCTGGCTGATGAACGGGGTTGTGTCGCACGTCACGTTTGATGACCTTGTCAATCCTGTGCTGGTCACAGAGAGCATTTATTCAAACGAGTAAGTCACAATGCCTTGTCACGGGTACAATGCCCACAGACTATCGTGGAGATGCATGCAACCAAATCTGATCTAGATCAGGGAAGCTCAGTAGACAATACTTCAATTTTGCCAGTAACCTTTGTCTATTCCTTTCCCACCAGTTGAATCTTGGAGCACATCCTTTGTTCATACTTCCTGAAGTTCTTCACAGTTCGAAGTCATCACCTTCCATACTACTTTAGACTGAGCCGAATGTTTGTTCTGAAATGATTCTAACTAATGCTGCCTTTACAACAATCACCTCACTCATGAAAGACACAGCACTCAAGCTAAACGATCTGCAATCCATGCTTTTGATCTCAGATGCCTATTGCATCATTAAGTAACGCCAGAAGATACAAAAAGTGGCTGTAGTCAAGGAAATAATATCAAAGGTGTTCTTGGTCACTTCCGCGAAGCGAGGTTTGACAGACGAGTGCCACAACATGTAGCTTACGCCTAGATCAGATGAACTTCGATCTCGCGCGGCACGAGATTTATTCCGCCAATGTCACCTGCCCAGGCAAGGCCACCGCCTAGCACTGTGAACTCAGAGTCTGCGGGTCTCAGAAACAATGCCGTGGCGCTCTGTAATTCCGCGGACGGAAGAAGCATCGCGTCGCCAGGTTTCAGGTCGCGGGGGCCAAAGCCGGTGAAACGTCTCCATACGCCCATTTGACGTTGCCCGATGTAGAGTTTGTTAGCAGATAAAGCTTTCGTCAGATACATTGCCCATTGTCCGTCAAGTTCGCCACCTGAAAGCTGTATCCGGAAGTCTTCAAGAGAGGGAAGACGATCGAGGGCCTCGCAGCCGTCCTCGGTCAGTAATTGACACCGGATAAGAGACCATATCATGGGAGCCATGGTATAAAAAGTCGGGCCCTCGTAGATAAAGTCTTCAGAGTCTTGGTGTTTGATTAGCCACATCTGAATATACTGGAGATGAATGTTCCATTCATGTGCCATATAGATCTTCCGGGGCTCAAACACGTTTTCGACATAAAATAGACTCCAGTCGAGCATAGAGTCGTCCTCAATACCGAGCAACGCATTGTCCGTCGATGTCGACGTGTCCCCTTCCCAGCCATAGGCTTCGATCTTCAGAGTCAGACTCCCGTTTGACGGCTCGCACACCTCGACAAGCTTAAAATCAGCTTCTCGTTCGGTCGCGATCAACGGCCACGGTCCAGGGTGCCGGGCGTCCGGAATCCAGCTTGCAAGATGTTCATCCACTCCGGCGATTCTGGAAGCGCCGGCATAAGCTAAAGTGCCGAAGACTTTTCCGGATTGTATCATTTTGAAGGCCAGATCCTGGAACACCTCTCTGTCACTGATCCCATAATTTGGAGTGATTGAGGCCACGCTAGCTGGACTTGTTGACGACCGTAGCTCGATATCGTCCGCCAGACCAGCGATGGCATAAACTCGATCCTTTCCCTCTTTGCATTGAAGATCGGTGAATGAACTCAGGAGGCTGTAGATGCCGCGGTCTATTGTGGAGGCATTGCCAAATGACCAGGTCCTCCAGAGGTCGCCGAATTGTCGGATCTTCCGTCGAATGTCAACGTCGAGGTCGTCATCCGAATTGCCAGTTGGTAAAGCGTGGAATGCAAAATGCAGCGCTGGCCAAGAAATCCTTGATTGCCCACAATGGAACATGACGTCCCCGTTGAGGACAAGCTCTTGAACTATCCAACGACGACCAAACCATGGCATCCTGAAGACTTTCTTGGCCGATTTTCCTATTTCCACAAGTGTTTGGTTTGTCTCTCGGTCCTGATTTTGATATTCAAATGTCCTTGCTCTCCTTGTAAAGGAGGCAAGATCATCAAGAGCTCGGCTTTCGCCTTCGTCGCCGTCACCAAGCCAGACTCTGACCTGCGTTGCGGACCGATAGATTTTAGCCATCAGTGGAATCTGTTGGGCTTTCTCATCCAGGTCCTCTTGATTGATGCAGATCGCGTCAGCCCATAGCCTACGAGGACTTGTTCGAAACCTGAGGCAGAGTAAAACTTGAGCAAGGTTGGGTGTGATGTGAATCATCGCCCCGTCGCATCTCAGTGGTCGGCTCCTCTCCTGATCACCCCACGTGTAGGATATCGCTTCGTACTCCTGGCTTGGATCGTTGATGCGCTGCTGATCAAGTGAACCCTCAAGAGCAGCGTCGACATCTTCGGACGGTGCCAAGGTGAGGATGCGAATGTGTTGTGTTGATATAAGGGGATTGTATACGGCACCCATGGCGCAGTGACTGATAGGACTAAAGGCTCGCTACAATGAATGCAAAGGGATGGCTCGGTCGAGAGAGAATGGAGGCATAAGAAACAGTATCTTGGTACCACAACGTGGCTCTCGTTTTGAGAGCTTGAAGCCAACCGGAAATGAGGGGCTAGGCCCCTGTGGAACCAGGCAGTGCAGAAATAATGTGACCCTGTCCAAATGGATTGAGTTAGGGTCCAAAATGGAGCATTCAAACAGCTGCAGGGTGCCACACCACCAAGCCGAATCCAGTGCTACATAGTTACTATATTGTTCATCAGCTTTGATCAGGTATTCGTTATGCAGCCACAGCATCTATATAGTGGACGACCTTGGCAATGCTTAATAGCCAACCTCTTGCAGGATTATCCTCCTATAGAGTAACCTATAGAGTAACCACTATGGACGTTAAACTATGTATCGTGGTTAGGTCGTCAAACAATTCTGACGACGACAAAGCCGAAGTGTAGTTGTGGCAGGCAGGCGATTTTGGTGAGCCGAATCAGAGCGTGGGCCGAATAGGCTAGGCCCAACTTATAGGTAGGATGACTAGGTAAAAGGTAGGTAAGCAAGGCACAGGAGTTCCAACACGTCAGAGCCAATATTTTGTGACTATAACTATGTCACTAAAATAATATACGTGATGGATGTTCCTGTGCATTTATTCAGAGAGCAAAAGCCCGGCAACAGATTTGTAGTCGACATCCTGATAGAACACCTCCTTTGCATACTCGGCGGCGACGATAATGACTCCAGTCTAACATCATAAGTGATATAATTAGCTTCAATTGGGGAAGACAGTTGACATACCTCAAGGTCTGTCTTCATCTCAGGCACCATGTTATCCCGAGTCCCTCTAGGTGAGGTTCGAAACCCCTCAGGAACCAGGAAGGTGCCAAAGTAAATCATTCTAACAACGCCGCTCTTCAGCCCCGTGGACAAAGATGCCCCTTTATCTAGGCTTTCCAGTGCAGTTCCGCCGGTCATACCACTGAAGCTGTGAGTAACGTCAACAACATCTTGCTACTGGATAAGGCTTGAACCGGTGTCACGTATAGTCTCAATGTCTCGCGACCAGTCAGGAGTGGGTGGGTCAGATCCCGAAGACGGCAAGGCTGGAGCAATCGAGGCATAGCCAGCGGTGTCAAGCTGAGCAATGAACCGGTCCCAGCAGCTGGGGTATGCCAGGCTGCATGGAGCAGAACGAGTACCGGCTTCGAAACCGTGGCTTGGTTATAGAATCAAGCTTTGAAAGAAAACGAGCTGAAGATGATGACTTGCTCTGGAGTGGATGGGTGTGACTTGCCTTTTGTGTTTCTTCAAGCAGGCTAAACCGCATCCTGCCAGCGATATGGTGAAAGCAACAGATCAATGTGATATTTCGAAGAAAGAGGCATCGGGCATGACTGGTTGCAGCAGACTTCTGCAGGTTGGACTGGCTGGTCACCAACCTGCATGGGTGAAAAACACCTGATCTTCTCTGTCCGGAGCCACCGAGTCAAGTGTCAAGAGCAAGTTGTGGGTGAAGGTACCTGAGGCTCTGTAGATAATCATTTCAATCCACGCACACTGGCTATGATCTATGAATTGTACAAGTCTTTCGGGAGCATATCCTGAATACAAAATCCACCGTTCATTCTTCAATTTCAATCCTCACTGAATCTGGAAATTCCTCGGATAATGTGTCATCACTTAGAGCTTTGTAACGGCCCTAGTAGGGGGTCGTAATAATATAGCACTCATATACTGCTGGGGAGTTCCAATTGTGATCGGAAATCACTGGTTTTTTAGCCCAGTGGTCTACTGCGAAATGCTCCAATGTCCCAGTTAGCGTCAGGGAGACCTAAAGTAGGAACATGTAACTCCTATTTCGTTCTCCTAGGCATCACTTGTCCCAAGAGGGTTCTGAGAAATAGCAGCCAGCCTTAAATACATTAATTTACTGTAGGGTGTATTTCTTGCTTCTGCATCTGATGCCGCCGGGCTATCAAGAACCTTTTAGTCGCCTCTTGTTGGAACAACATTGCCAGAGGATTCTTGCCTTCCGCTCGCATTTGTGCAAGTCTCTGAGGGGGCAGCCGAAGATTCTGCATCATCTGTTGTTTCTGGGCATCACTTGCCTCCTGCATCAGGATCTGAGCCAGCGCCTGTATCCTCTGCTTGTCCGCATCGGTCAACTGCTTCTGCTCAGGGTCGTACTTGGGCAGATGCCCCAGAGCTGGCTCCTGCTTCATCGTTTTGGACTGTGCCGTATGCGTAGGATCGATTTGCATGTTGTTCATCGTCTGGTTTCCTCCTGGCACGTTCGTACCGTACATCCCCTGCGCCAACATTTGTCTCTCTCGCTGCTGAACTGCCGACAAGCGCTCTTTTTGTGCTTGCATTCGGGCAGCTGCTGTCTAGGTCAGCCCCGTAAAGTTCATTTCGACTGCTCTCAAAGTAAATGGGACTGCCAACCTTTGTCCATCTGCACTTGGCTTCTGTTCTCAGGTACACTCTTTGACCACTCATCCTGCTCTTCCTTCGCCGTAATAGCGCTTTTGTCTTCTTGCTCCCCAAACATTCTCTGGACCTGGTAGTATTGAAGAGGAGCGCCGTTCTGGTCTTCAGCTGAGGATGGATAAGGCACGGAACCTCCATTCGCCGTGACTGGAGCGTCAAAAATAGGTGCCATAGGTGCCTGACGGCGCTCTCCCCTGTTGATTGTCGACTTGACCCGGCGGAGTGGCTTGGGTGGTGTGGCTGTGTCGTGTTCCTTTCGGACGTGTTCTCTGAGAGACCGTGGGGTCAGGAAAGGCGGGTATTGGCATCCCACATGGGTACATGGGTATCGGCGAACATGGCTCACTTCGTGTTCAATACGAAGCGCTTTCGTTTCAAAACCCACAGTTGCACGAGGACATGATCTGAGTCTGCACGTGTGAGCGGACGTGCAGAACTCATTCCGGAATGCCTCGAGGTCGCGTGACGAAACCCCTGGGATATCGGGCTCTTTGATGACGTCGAGCAGCAAGTTCTGGTATTGTGAGAGCAGGGCTGACACACCGTCCGTTTTGACTGGGACATATCTTTCCTGTGTTGCGTCCGGTAACGCTATTTTCATCATTAAATTATCATTTGCTGAAGCAGACTAGGGATGAGAGACGCAACTCACAGCTTTCCATTCTGAGATGTTGTTCAAGTTGCTTCGACGATCTGGCCCATCTAGCCTTACATACAAGCGTATATATGCTTGGGTGCTCTTTCAGATGATCCAAGCTCTTATCTGGGGATGACTCTTCATGCTGCAGATCCTGTCCGTCGTTTCCAAAAGCAGCATCCATTTCTGCGGCGAGTTGATAAAGGAGGTTGTGTAGTGTTGAATGTCTATCAAGGCCACCATATCGGCCAATGATAGCTAGGTACTCTGTCCAGTATTCACTTGCATATAATTGAAGCCCGTATACCCCTCTAACCAGTACTCGAAAGGTGTCCTGGCCGTTCTGGCCGAGAAGCTTCATACTAGACAGGAGACATGCGACCGAGGCAATGCAGTGTTGGTTCACTACAGCCTCCTCGGAGATGTCCAGATTCGATGAATAGTTTTGTAGAAACCTGAGGAACAAAAGAATATTAGCTGAACTGGAAATCGCCATAGGTTTCTTCATCCTCCATCACTCTCGACTCACTCTTTCACGGAGACGTGGATGAACGTCAGTGTTGTGTCGCTTCGTTCCTCAATTAAAGATCGACAGACATCAAGAATGTACTGAGGTGCGGGAAAATCTACATCCGGGTCGCCAGACGAGAAAGCAACGGCAGACAATAACTCAGACCTGCGTAATGGCCGCCTCGCAAGTGCTACCCAGCGGAAAATGCACTCGATGTGACGCGTCGAATTTTGGTCGAGTGGGGCTAGGATCTGGGACAAGAGTTGAAGATAGCTAGACAATTAGCGAATACTAATGCTTCAAAGATTAAAATAGATATACCCACAAAGAAGAAAGCTCCCGGGGTAACTGGTTAACCGCATTCCTCAACTCGTCTCCGCGGACGAAGATATTGCTACTAATGAAATCCAGGACCAGCCGGGCGTACAGGAACATTCCTACAACCCATGTTAGTCTGATCGGGGGTTATAAATTGAATGATAGCCAAGGGAGTCCATATCAGGGCCTCTGCTTATTACCCGAAGGGGCGACAAGGAGGACTGCAGCGCTGAGGCTGGACAGTATTCCCGATCGGAGTATACACTCACCGTCTGATTTATGTGATATCTGTTGGCCAAAACTCTCTATCTCAAGAGCGCTCAACCCCAGTTGCTCAAATCGGTTGCCCAAAGAGCCTAGTCTCTGTAAAGCATACTCTTGAATTGCCAAAGCTAGGCTTTTCTTCTCCTCCGTGAGGGAGACTGTCGGTTTCTGCCGGAGCACATGGGATATGGTAGTAGATGGACGAGCGGAGATCAATGCTTTGCAGGTCGCATTTTCCGAAGCGTTAGTCTTCGAGACAATCTGCTTGATGAAATTCAGCAACCGAGCTTGTGAATTTGGAGAATGATCGCGAAGCTCATCCACACCGTCCACGACAATCCAAATGTAGCCACGTTGACGCGGGTCTTCGGCAGAGGTGTTCAAGAGGGTCTGTAGTAACTGCTCCAAGATCGCAACGGCTGCCACTTGCTTCTTAAGAACATACTCGTGGTAGACGTTGGTTGTTAAGTCCCCGTCGTGGCGTAGTAGTTGTTCGAGGAGAGACTTGAGGACTTGGTCATACTCGGAAGACATAACAGACGCATTTGTGCAGAAATGATGAAGTACAATACCGTTACGCGACGTTATAAAGTTGACCAGCTGCGACGAAATCACACTCTTCCCAGAGCCTGCTATTCCTGACAGCCAGAGGATAGGCGTTTGGGGTGATTCTTGCAACCAAGAATTAATTTTGGTGTTGTTCAGGATCCATTGACATGTCCCTGGGTACCTATTGCCTTGGCCGGCCGTGGATTCAAAGATGGCTAGTTGATCGCATTCGTTCATCCGTAACCACGATTGGATGGCTCGAAACTCTTGGGCCGATTGTTTTTCATCTTCATCGCTCATCTCTTGGAGCTTCTGCTCTCTCCATGAGAGCAGATCTTGACGCATCTGTCGTGCCTCCGAAATGTCTATTGCGTTGACCAATCGATCAATCAGGTCTTCATGATTTTTCATGTCTTCTAGTATATGGTTGAAGCGTCTTTGGAATCTTCCCCACGAGGTGGCGAAAAGCAACTTCCAACCTGGAGCAACCATATCAGCGACCAATTTCTAGTTACGTGGGCATACGCCCACTAGAGCTCTTACAGAAAGATGACTCACCACTACGCCGCACAAATTTGTAAGCGTGCTTATGAAATTCGAGGATATCCGCATAAAATGCGGCCGTTGCTTCATGGAACCTCGGGTCCCCAAGGAACGACTTGCGGAGGACCTCAAATCGTTGCAAGGAGCTCCCGATTCGGCCGTATGCTCCGATCAGGGAGTCGAACGACTCAATGTGTTCAGACGCAATCCTCAAGATCAGAGTGATAGGAGCCCAGATCCACGGCAAGTATGGTGTCCCATTGCAGAGCGTATCAACAACCTTGGAATAATGCTCGAGTCCAGTGAAAAGAGGTTTTAAACGCCGCATGTTGCGGAGCCATCCACGAGAAGCGAGCTGATTCTCGATGTTAAGTGCCTCTTTTCGAACGCGCTCTAGAGAATAGTCATGGTAGTCTCTGGAGTCCTGTGGTGTGATTACATTCTCAAGGTCCTCGAAGGCGCTCCGTATTGTTTGCCTCGAGACGGCAGGTACTTTGGGTCGAGGCATTGCCGACAACTGACTGATTGAACGAGCTCTCGCGTTCCGAGACGAGTGGTGGAATTCTCATCAAGTCGCAGTCAGAAATCCAGGTGGGTGAGGGATGGTTGAAAATGGAAGATTGTGGGAAGTGATGGAGGCTTCGTCATTGATGGGTAGGTAATTATCTAGACTACACTGGCATGCCTGGGGTTGCGTGCTGCGCCAGGATGCATCTGCAAGGACTCAGCCTCGAGTGTGTGCTGGCTCCCGTCCCAGACCAACTGATGATGTTAGATGGGTATGACAACCTTGGCGTGCACTGCCCTAGACGCCCGACCTGCCATTGTCTCATTCCGACAGACGGTGTGAAACGACACAATATATTATGTGGGTATGACAACCGTGGCGTGCAGTGCCATTGTCTCATTTCGACAGACGGTGTGAAACGACAAAATATGCACGTAAGCTCAGCCCCTACCAGGCTGTGATAGCTAGTGGTTCGAATAAGGAATAGTTATAGAGGCTATGTGGTGAGATTGGGCGGCCCAGGCCGCCAGACAGTTGGCACTCACTATTTCTAACAGGACGAACCCCGTCTAGACTAGTAGTATCCTTTGTATGTATGACACTGTCCCAAGGCTAATCACTTTTGCTTATCTGGGTCCCGAATTTGTGTTTCTGTTGCCAAGTAACCACGCACCGAAAGTTGAAGATGAGTTGGAACCCTGAGGAGCCATGGCCTAAACGCAGGTGCTTCGCAGGCGGACAATATGCTGCGCTGCAACAGTGTGGTTCTTTCTCGGACACCAACAGCTTCGTACAACGGTACCCTGAGAGACATGCAACACCTTCATCATGCCCTTCGCCTTGGACTGCACTTCCCAGCCAGATGACCGGCTTTGAATTTCAACAGAATACCCAAGCAGCTTCCTGGGTACCCCAAGCTGGGATAATGCAAGACTCACTAGGGACGTTTAATATCGCCCAGACATATGAAGGGCGACAAATACAGATGTCGTCAGACTGGGGCCGAATACCATCCTTGGCTCCAGGGCATGTACTACACCACGGTCATGTCTGGCATGGCCCGGCTGCGATACTCCCGATGCCCCAGGATTACCACTCACAAGGTATTGCCCCCATACCAATCCAGACTTATCCCCTAATGCAGCCCGAGATCGCAATGATGCCATATTCAACTGCTTCAATGATTTACCGCGAGTCTCCATCGCCCGGCCTCATGTTCGATAATATCCCCTCGAGCGGCATGACTGGCCTAAGCCCTGGGACCACAGACTCGAGCATGAAGGAGACCGTCTGCTTCGGAATGGTATGATCAGATCACTAGGTGTAATAGTTGGATGGATGCTGAATAACTAGTTTTAGATTCCTCGCATACATGCAAAATGCCACCAATCAGGCCCTTCAGACTTCCCACCGAATTTCGCCGTGGATCTCCAGTCATGGGATCGGTTCACCTCAAAACATAAGAATCTCATTGTACATGGAAGAATTTCACCAGAGAATGGACCAATGATTCAAGAGCTCTTGAAAGATTCATCGTTGGACCTCGATGTCTCTTGCAGTATCGACGGACCAATTAGCTCTGCCAGACCTGACAGGTCTATTACGCAGGTTTCTTGCTTTTTATCCATCACTATCTACGGCCCTTTCGAGCTGTTCGACGACATTGGGGATTGGCTCCAAGATAACCACGTTCATCTTCAGGACCCAACAAACATGGGCAGCCAGGATGTCAAGTACTGCAACCCTCACCGACTTTCAGTGGAAGACATTGGTTCTTGTCTTTTAGTGTCGACATGCATCTTGCAAAATTCAAAGCTCAGTGGCCTCGAGGAGATTGGTGATCAGCCTGACTACTTGGATATCTTAAGCAGTCATGTTGATTTGGAAGAAGCAATGCAGCCCGAAGCAGTCCGGACAAGCCTGCAGAGGTTCGTGGCGGACAATACAAATATCTTTGATGCTAAGTTAGCGACTTTAATGCTGATGCGATATTCCTAGGCACCAAAAGCAAGCGCTCACCTTCATGCTCGATCGAGAGAAAAGTTGGACATTTGATAAAGATGGTGACATCTGGGAGGCTCGAGACACCCACGCAGGACTTCAGTACGACCCGCCCCGAACATGTACAAACAGCTGGATGTGGCTAACTGATTTTGGCACTTCTAAGATTCATCAACAAGGTCTCTGGTGCTGTCCATTCCGACGAGCCACCACCCTTTCGAGGCGGCATCATTGCGGATCCAATGGGCCTCGGGAAAACGCTGACAATGATTGCTCTTGCGGCCACGGATCTGGAGCCGGCTCAGCACGGAGCTTGTTCAATGGTCGATGTTTCGGCTGGAACGAGTCACAATGGCGCGACGCTTATCATCGTCCCTCCCCCACGTGAGTGGTACTGGAATTTATTCACTGTGATCTTGAAGTTATATCGGACATTATTCCCTGGCACCTAGGGAGCAAGTAAGCTGACCATTCAATAGTACTCGGCACCTGGCAAGAGCAGCTGTCTGAGTAAGTGCAGTCCTGACAGACCATACATGCACGTACCCTACTAAATATTGGAGAGCTGCTGAATTATTTGCAGACACCTGTTCGAAGGAAAATTGAGTCTGCGGCTTCATTATGGAAAGACAAAATTGACTGACCTAAAAGACTTGCAGGACGCTGCCACTGTGTTAACAACCTATCACACGGTGTCGGCTGAATTCAAGAATAAAGACAGAAAGAGGGATTCATCAGTCTTATTCTCGACCCATTGGCGAAGAGTTATCCTGGACGAAGGTGACTACCCCTAATATCCCAACTAGGCATGCTGAGCCCCTTGCTAACTTAAATATGTAAAGCGCATTTTATTCGCAATGAAAATAGGCAAATGGCTCGTGCGATTTGCGACCTGCAAGCAAGGGCTCGCTGGGCAGTTACTGGCACTCCCATTCAAGTGAGTCGCCCACGGTGGCAGAGCTTTAAGCTTCGACCCATTACTGATGGATATGTCTGTCTGTACAAGAACCGCCTGAACGATCTTTCGAGTCTGCTGAAATTCATCCGGGCTCACCCCTACCATGATTCAAAACAGTTCAAAGCCGACATATCCTCACCGTGCAAACTTGGCGAAGAGGCGATCAGTCGTCTCAAATACCTGTCGGCGTCTCTTGTTCTCCGGCGGCCGAAAACCACCATATCACTCCCACCACGGCAGGACAGACAATATCCTATCGACTTCAGCCCCGAGGAGAGAAAGATGTACGAAGAGGTCCGGAGCAAAGCGATCATCACAATCGAAGAGGCTCTACAGCCTAGGCCAGACACATCGTCAGGGGTGGTTTCTTACGTCAACGTATTGCAACAAATTGAGTCGTTGAGGCTTATCTGCAACCTCGGGCTGAGCTACCGCCCAGGCCACGGCGGTACCGCTCAGATACCCAAGGACGATTGGATATCTATGGCACAACGAACTTTCAACACTCGACGAGAGCTTGACCCTATAAGCTGCCTACATTGCTCGTCAGATATTGGATTGGCAGAGTCTCTGCTTGACCCATCCGATAGCAAACGAGAAGGGCAGTTTTTCCGTTGTCTGAAGTTCTGCTGTGGCGAGTGTGTCGAGAAAGCGCACCGGTTAAGGCAGGAGGTTGGGTGTGGACACAGACCTCCTTGCCTTGGAACTACTGTCTCTCTGGTGGGCAAGGCGATGGAGGAGGCCGGGTCCCTAGAGCCTGCGAGACTGCAGGGAGACTTCAAATTGCCCTCAAAGATTCAGGCTCTGGTGAAGGATATCAAAGCTCTTCCAATGGCAACTAAATGGTATAGTCCAGGGCCTATATCAGGGCTGCTATTATTGAAAAGATGATGCTAACAAACTGCAGTGTTGTATTTTCGACTTGGAGACTAACTCTAGACCTTGTGGAAGCTGGGCTGGGTCAGCACTCCATAGGCAATGTTCGCTTCGACGGGAAAGTGCCTCAGAAAGAGCGACAGAGTGTGGTTAACCGATTTAAGACTGATCCAAACGCTCGAGTCATGCTCCTCACGCTATCTTGTGGGGCTGTAGGGTAAGCCCTATGTTGCACTCGGTGTTGAAATGCTATTTCTTATGCATTGCTGACCACTTGACACAGGCTCACCCTGACAGAAGCATCAAGGGCATATCTCATCGAGCCCCATTGGTAAGACTAGTCAGACTGGAAACGACATCTGAGTTACTGACCTATGTTAGGAATCCTACGCTTGAGGAGCAGGCACTTGCCAGGATCCATCGTATCGGGCAGACGCAGGAGGTGACTATGATTCGTTTCTATGTCAGGGATTCATTCGAAGAGGTGATTAGCTTCAAAGCGTCCTACCGGCTGTTTCAAACCGATTATAGTTACTCATGTTTTCTGCAGCAAGTGATGAAACTTCAAACCAAAAAGAAGCAGCTCGCAGGTCTACTGCTTGCTCCGCATGATGGCGAGGACACAGACGATAATCTAGGGGGGTTGCATGTAAGTGCCCAGGTGCATATCGAACACACCGTCTCTCTAGCGCCGCGTATTAACCCGGAGCTAGAATCTTAGGTCCTTGCTGTAATAGAAAATTCTCTCACTTGTCCGGGCTCTACGGCCTTACCCAGCTATTTATCGTGTAACTGCTTGTACTTGTAACTCAATACCATGGAAGGAGAACGCGCCTGGCTGCTGGTAAGCGACGATCTAAGCTGAGGTGATGACTCGCAGCATTGCAACATGGAGGCTTGCGTTCACACGGCAGAGCCATTCAACTAAAATGTCAAAATGAGAGGTTCTCCTCGGCCTCTGCTAGAGGAAGATTGCACCTGTGAGATTAAGAAGCACTGGCAAGGTGTGAAATAAATGATGACTGCGTGGGAAGCCACATCAAGTCAGTCCATGACGGACACGGCTCGTTTTCTTTTTTGTCGGGAAAATAAACGTGCGCAAGCCAAACATGTATCCGCCATGACATCCGTTGCTTGTCCAAAGTTTGGTCAGCGTTGTCCCAGTTGTGCCAAGGGTATGAATGATCTTGAAGCACTGCCAATGTGACTGCAGTGGGCCGGAACTGAACCGCCTTGCCTGCCGGGAGAGCACGCCATTACGTTGACGCTGCCCCACCAACGTCAGCAGCTGTGCAGCGGCCCAAGTACGTAGCTCCTACCATCAACAATAACGACAAGATGGACGGGGTGGTAGAGGCGTTGCACATCTACGATGAGCGCAACTCGCCTGTCCTGTCGCACACCTATACGTCGAGGCCGCTCTCCTCGGCCCACCTGCTCCCGCTCTACCTCGCCCACCCGCAGCCGCGGCCGAACCTGATCTACCTCCCGAACACGAACCCGCCCACTCTCGTCTTCTCCCTCATCCACGCGAACCTCCTCTTTCTCCTGACCACCTCCGGCGAGGTCGAACCGCTCCTGATCCTCGAGTTCCTCCACCGCATAATCGACGCCTTCGAGGAGTTCCTCGGCGCCCCTCTGATATCCCACAAGATCGAGTCCAACTACGATGTCGTCGCCCAGCTGCTCACCGAGATGTGCGATGCCGGCACGGTCGCCACCACCGAGCCGAACGCCCTGCGGGACGTCGTCGAGGTAGAAGGGTGGATGGGCAAGCTGCTGGGCAGCATCACCTTGCCGGGCCAAGTAAAGGACCTGAGCGCGTACGGCCGGTCACCCAGCCCCGCGCTGGGCTCGCCGTCGCTGCTCCAGAACACGACGCCGTCGTTGCCATGGAGGAGGGCCAATGTCAGGCATACGAGCAACGAGCTGTACGCCGACGTGGTGGAGACGCTTAACGTCACCCTTGCGCCGAGTGGGAGGCCATTGGCTGCTTTCGCTAATGGCACCATCGCGTTCACCAGCAAGGTCTCAGGGGTGCCGGACATCAACATGACACTCACGAGCCCCTCGGGCAAGCACAACCTCGGCAGCGTTATGGAGCTGCCAGTATTCCACCCTTGCGTGAGACTGGCCAGATGGAAAGAACAGCCTGGGGTCATAAGCTTCATCCCACCAGACGGGAGGTTTATACTGGCGGGCTACGAGGTGGACTTGCTACCATTCTCTAGCGGAAAGAGCGGGAATCTGAGCTCAAGCAGCTTGAAGCTTCCGGTAAACCTCGAGATGAAGACTGGTCTCGGGCCGACGGGGTCAGACTTTGAGGTCAAGGTCTACATCAACAAGATATTTGGCGTCCCGACCAGCTCAGGTCCGCCTGGCAGGGGCGGCGGCAAAGGGGGGCCTGCCTCAACTTCGTTGGAAGACCTTGTTATCACAGTGCCGCTACCAGAGGATGTCAGGAATCTGCCCGACGTTCGGCCAACTAAGGGAGACGCAACCTACAATCCGGGCGACGGAGAGCTGCAATGGCACATACCAGCCAAGGAACTAAACACAGGGACAACATACTTCGGGCTAAAGTGCACAGTCACAGGCCCCTTGGCCGAGGGCGACGAGGAGGCACCGATGGACTACACCTACGAGGAGCCCTACCAAGCCGAGCCGACGGCAGCCGGGGCGAAGCTGGACAAGGCCGTCGGCGCAGGCTCAGAGGACGATCGTGACGCGAAGAGGGTCGCCCAGAACAAGATCCTCATGCCAAGTTCGGCGTCGGTGAGCTTCGCCGTCAAGGGCTGGCTGCCGAGTGGGATCAGGATAGAGAGCATCTTGTTGGATACCCGGAAGAGCAGGGGCCTGGGGGAGGGCGTCAAGCCGTACAAGGGAGTCAAGTACTTGACTGTCAGCAAGGGGGGCGTGGAGATACGGTGCTGAGTGCTACCTGATGTGTGTGTATTGGCCACAACTATACACGTAATACAGGCACTTCAACCCGCGGCCCGGGAAGCCTCTTGCAGCTGGGCGCAAGCGTACAGTCTGGGGTACCGTCCCATGAGTGAACTTACTCCTTGCACGCGTTCAGTGCGGATCTCCATCAGGTGATCATTATCAGCCTGTGGATGCAAGTCAATCATCCTGAGAGGCTTGCGTAAAAGCATTGTTCTGTTCATCTCCAGTCCCATTATGCTCGGGGCGGGCTTACAAGTACTGTGTTCTCTCATCTCAACGCCTCGTACTCGATGGAATCAGCGTCCATCCTTGCAACTTTCACACTTCCAATTGGGTGGCCATACTAACCGAGTTCGCAACAAAATTACGGCTTGTGGTGCAACTTTCTCGTTGATACTAGTATGCATGTAGTGATAGAAGAAAATGCCCCTTTGCCCTAATCTGTTGCGGTCTTCGCCGGCATGGACTCTCATGAGGTACTAATTATGAATGTTTCTCTTACACACTGGAGTGAAGTATTCAATCAACGAGGAAATAGTCATCATCTAGAACTCAAATGATATTGGGCCAACATCGTGCTTGCCTCATACATCCTTTCTCAACTATGAATAATTGTTCATAGACTTGTCAACCATCCTATGTGAGAAGTTGGACCGTTCAAACTTGGTTTTCAATTTCACCTCTCATGGTAACTCATACTAGCCGAGATCACGATTAAGATGGTATAAATACTGATATGCATGCTATATAAGATTTTCATGCGCCGAGTCAAGTCATATATCATCAATACGCTTTCCATCATCTGGAGACCAGTAGTCTCAACAAAATGGTGCTCTGCACCACAACGGGTATACCACGGCGAAGGGCCATATGGGGGTGGAACTTCTGAAGCCCATCTGTGTCTTCTTTGCACAGATAAAGACTGGTAACTCCCAAACTCCCTAGATGGTCAGTCGGGAGTTCCAGCTATTCTTGAGTGGTCTCCAGATCAGGCCAATGCGCCGCTTCGTCTGCTGGTCACAGCAAGCTTCCCTGGTTCAGCCGACCGATTTCAGGCCAAGTTCTTAAACCCACGCCGGCGGTCCACTCCCATCGAGATGGCTATGAAGATTTATAGCTCCCAGACGAACAGTGATGTCCTGGTCATTCCTTGTGCCCGCATTGTCCGCGGCGGCGATTTCATATCAACATCGCCTCGTAAGGAAGGTATCCTTTGCTGCAGGTCCCTCTGTGCCTTCACTCTACTCTTGTTCAGGGCAAGCTGGCAGGACCGATAAAACGTGATCGTCGAAGACCCCATTGTCGACGGCGCCTCACGGGCCGCTGAAGTGTACATGTCGTGAGTTAGAAGCGGATGCTGTTTGGCTGTCGCCAGTATCAGCGGGCTCCTTGGGCGTATCGGAACCCACTGTTTTGGCATCGAAGTCGACAACATTCATTTCCACATCGCGCTTGACACGGCGGACTCTTCTGGTCTTCCGCCGACGCCGTAAACAGGGCGTGATGGTTTTCAGACCCTTGATCAGTGTCTTTACGAGAGCCTTGGCCCCATTGCGCTTGCATTAGCTTTATGAACACAGCGCGTAGCATAGGAATGGTCACCTAGAAGGGGCACGGGCGGCATCCAGGTGATAACGGGATCAGGGGACCAATAACGCAAGACTTGAATAACTTAGAATCCGTAAACTCACCGTGTCTCTGTAAAGGTAAAGGGCATAGAATATAACGGCGAGACCAATAACGACAGCCCCCTAGTACATGTTAATCACTTGCTCCTCGTCTCAAAGTGATGCATCCTCGACCATTCCAAGACATGACGGACGGGGAACCGTGAAAGGAGAAGAATGGTGCTTACGACTATCCCGTAGATAATCCCTGGTCGGCACACATAAATATTCTTATCCCCGCAGTCTCCGTTGTTGTAGTAGAACCTGGTCTCCCTTGCCTCGAGAGCAGTCGTCGTCGACGTAGCCTCCAAAGATGGCGCCATGTTGACTTCTTACGGGACTACTACTAAGGTGGCCGTTGGAGAGTATTAGGTCTGCTCGCGAGAACAAGGAGCAGTCGGTACATTAGACTGTCCGATCGTCTTCAGGCGCATCCACCTTGTCCCAACTCAGATTTGCGAATTAGGAGGCAACGATAATCCAGGAGCCGCGTGAGGGATGTAACAAGAAGAGACAGCATTGAGAGTTTTGTGACCGGCAGAGCTCGGTCAGTAGTTCCGGGCCATGACTTTTAAAAAGGAAGCAGGAGTTCTGGGCGGCGCATGTTGTGCAACCACGACCAAGTAAGACGGAGCCTGTCGGTTCCAGGAAAGGCGCGGCTAAGCAAGCTGGCTGCAAGAAACGGCCTGCGAGACACACACACGCATCCAATGGTACGACTTCAGCGGGACAGACAGATCCTTCGGGGCGGTGTCTTACTGCTGACGGTGACGTCCAGGCATTCCAACGGATCCAGGGGGCCAGGCGGATGGGGCTGAAAACATTGAACTCCCAGTCGCCCGGACGCCGTAAAATGTCAAATCAGCTTTATTGAACTGTAGTATATACGCTACTTACCCCACGATGCGACAGGCTTGGAGATGAGAACAAAGGCTGTCACTGATCATGAGCAGTTGGGTGCTGGAAATAACATCACACGCTGAAGGTCGCTGGGGGGGGGGTCATGGGTGCCTGGGGGCACGTTGGGGGCTACAAAGCTGCCCACAGGCAGTTGGATTTCTCAGCCACCCAGAACGGCACTTTTGCCCTCATTCCCGAGACATTCCCACGTTCTGCTGCCTTGCTGACTCACTGGCCATGGCGACTGATATCGACTCTGGCCAAAAAAAAAAAAAAAATGCAGCCGAATCCCTTGCTGGAATTGGCGGGCTTGAGGAGCTGCACCATCGCTTGTGCGTGCCCAGGTGCCGAGGAAGCCATGGCAGGACGTATCGGTATTCCTGGGCATGCAAATGGGCCGCTAAGGAGTTGGACAGGAGCCAGCGGATCATCGGAGATCTAATGATCCCGAGACGCCGTTTTACAAGTGTTGGCACTTGGGTAGGTAGGGAAGGATTTTGGGTTCGTGTTGGTAAGCAACTTTCAAGGGAGGACACCAGCACTGTTATTGTGGCTGTCCACGGGGAAACTGCCAACAATGGAACAAGAAAATGAAAAGCGATACAGCGATGGTCTGAAGACGCCTGTTGATGCATCGCAATTGCTAGTAAGGTAAGTCTCCACGATGTTCTAGTAATGCCACCTCCCCGAGCCGTCTCAGTGCCTCGAACTCCGAACACATGATATGAGGCCATCCTGTTCGCGGCAACACAGCCAAGCGCTGTGCAGTACGGGGCCAGAGGTTACCCTCGTGCTGCGGTTCCCTACCGAAAGCTCAACGTGTCCGGACATGCGCCGTCCTTCAGTCCCCATTAGTTAGCACAAAGGACTCAAAAGTCTGTCCCGGCCCGATCTCCTCCAGCTCGCCCTCAACAACCAGCACGACCTCGCTCCACCCCCTGATCAGCGCGCGCCAGTAGCACGCCTCAGCAGCAGGGCTGAAGTAGCCCCCATCCGCGAACAAACTCCGCTGCCGCCGCGCGATGCCCTCCGCCACGTCCGGGTGGCCCTCGAGCCAGCCGATCACGTCGTCGAGGTCCGACCAGTCCGGCTTCACAAACACGATGTTGGCCTCCTCGGGGCCGTAGCCCTCGCCCCACGACCTGCTCGTCATCGGCCCCGCCTCCCACGATCCCTCCAGCCCGGGCAGGGCGCTCGAGAACACCGGCCTCACCAGGTGCGTGGCGTGCTGCATCCAGCCGATGGGCGGCGTGATGACCACGCTCGCGCACATCTGCAGGAACTGGAACCGCCCGCTGTACGTGACGCCCTCCGTGTGCAGGATGTACCTGTACCTGCAGAAGTCCTCGATCGGGAGGCCGTTGCTGGCCGTCCGCTCGCCGTTGGCGTCCTTGCCGCCGTCCCACGCCAGCGCCTCGACGTCCGCCCAGGGCCTGTCCTTGGCCGCCGCGAGCAGGTTGGCGCGAAGCCGCGGGTTGTGCACACTGTTGAACCACGTCGTGCCGCGCCAGACCGCCTTCGGGGTCTTGGACGCGAAGGTTGGGTTGAGCTCGGTCTCGATGTGCGCGATGGCCTCGGCCGCCCTGCCCATGGACCCGATGAAGGGGAGTTTCCACGCCCAGAAGGAGAAGTGCGGCATCAGGAACGTCCGCGCGTTGGCGTTGCCGTCGTCGAAGCCCGGCCGGGAGTTCGGGTCCGCCTGTCTCGAGTAGGCCCAGGCCGTGCCGAAGGGTTGGTCCTGGAAGTTCAGCGCGAAGACCGTGTCCGGGGCGGGCTCTGACGGTGGCGCGGTCAGCAGGGCGCGGTGGATCTGGTGCAGCGATGCGGTGCGGGAGTTGAGCATCTCCCCCGAGAGCTCATTCTTGCGCTGGGACTTGAGGATGTGCAGCTGGCCAGATTTGATGCGTCCCAGTACCGGTGCTGATTTCGGGGTGAGGGTGAAAGGCCCCTGTGAGACGACGTCCTGGATAGACCAGGTCAGGTTTGGGAATGCGGCCTCGCATTGTGAGACTGTGAGGGAGAGATTGTTCAGCAGCTCTGGGGGATGAGGGCCGGCATTGGACTCCCGATGGGTGGCAAAGGACGTCTCATGTTGGCTCTTTTCGGGCACTCGGCGAGCCAAGAAGAGGCAGTAGATTATCAAGACGAGCCCTGCGCAGCAAAGCACATCTCGCAGTTTCCGCCGCTGCCTCGGCCTGATGGTTTTGTCGCCGATCATGGCTTATTGCTTTCACATTTTGGTGACACTAAACAAAGTAGTTGCGCATCTCTTGTTTTCGCATGCCGTATGCAGTGAGAAATGAAGATGACAAGTCGCGTGTTCAGTGGCCCACAATCATGAAGTTGAAGTTGAGGTCACCTGGCGTTTGGTGTTGCGGGGAACTAACCCCTGAATTAGATTCGGCGGGTGGTGCTCCGGGAGTGCCTGCAAGGTATGCGCCAGCTTGTCCCGCGGCTGGTTCGACAGGCCAGCAACCTGACGACAGTAACTGTTTTGATGCGACTGACAATGGCTTTCAGCTGCGCTGAATCGCATGTGAAGAGTGAAATTTGCTTACACAGACCCATTGTCCTCTGAAACACAGCGTCTGGACGAACAGGGTCCACAGATCATGTTTCATCACTTCAAGTCATGAACCACCAATCATCTTACATGGCCACCTCGAGTGGAAGAAACAGGTCTGGCTCAACCTTATCTGTTTGGTGAAGAAGCTGTCAATCTCAGGAAGCGTGTGTTCCAGGATGTGCATGATCCCTCGTGGTCGACGTTCATTCACGCCTGCCGTTTTTTAGTTCGTCTACGCGTAGCCTAGAGAGTCCCGCTGGCTCTTCCAAGTCCACCGAGGGACCCCAAGCAACATCCCCCGGTGTCTTGCTCTGCGCCGCGTAGCTCATGTCCAGGGGTTTTGTCGGTTCTTTGCTCTCCCAGTGCCGCGCCTCAGCGGGCACAGGCTGCCACCACGCCTCAGGAGGTCCAAGACGGCCATGCCAGGATGCACTGCAGAGTTCCCACAGCCGACTTGCCGCTCGTTTGTAAGCAAATCGCTCATCCTCTCCTGTGAATGCAGATGTGTTCACGAAGTCGACCTTCTGTCCGAGGACACCGAAATCTGAGTCAATCTCGGCATGGATACTGGAAGTTTTGTTGGCAGAAGGAGATGGACCGTCGTTATAACTGGATATATTGGGCCTGAAGGGGGCAGCAGAGTCTTGATAGACTTCAGAGATAGTTTCAGAATAGGTCGCGTCCTCGTGTTCGCCTTCCTCGGTGGTGCTGCTGCTGGTGGTGGTTTTCGCAGTCGAAGAGGAGCGGGTCATGGTAGTGAGTCCGGATTTTGAGGGCTGACGCCGATGTTGTTCTGGGAAGAAGAGATTGTCGGGACCGACTTCGGCTCGAATAAGAACCTTACAACGAGCCTCGTACAGCGCATCCAGGAGTGTAATGAAGCGTCGTGCTTCATTCTTCATGGACACCGGTAGCACGGGCACGTTGTCGATGACCCATGTGTGGTAGTTTGAGGCCAGTGTGACATAATCAGCCGGTCCAAACTTGTGTACCAATTCATTGAAATCCCAGTGTGTAAAACCTTGGTAGTGTCTGGGTACATTGACGAGCCTTCCATACACAACCAAAGTTGCCGGCTCCCAGGGTATTGATGAAAGGAGCGGGTTGTTGACAGTCTCTAGTACCATCTGATTCCAACTTTCGGAGCTGTCTATCGTGAGTGCGTATTTTCGTGGTGTTGTTGAGTCACCAATCTCATCACGGATGAGTAAAAGATCCGAGTCCGGACTTTCCACGGTGGAGGGGGAAGCTGTAGACCCAGGCGCTGTGTTTGCTTTCTGGTGTAGGCCAAGGTGCTCTTGTATGTCTCGCCGCCGCCAGTCCTGGGCACCTTCCATATGCCAGAAGTCGCATCTCGCCTTCAAGACCTCCAAGAAGGCGGCAAAATCGCTCGTGCTCCCAAACAGCTCTCCTCTTTGCTTCTGAGCGCCCATGCCGAATAAATTGCGGACCAGGCCACCTGTTGACGGTGGTGGTGAACCATATGTGCCGGTGGCTTTCGAGCTCATCAGGCATGCGGTTGGACGAGGCAACCAGCACGCCACCAAGCTGAAAGAATGCAATAAACAAGTTACTGAGAATCTTGCTTGCAGCTCTATCCGGGAGCTGAAACTCGTCTAAGAACAGAATGGGCGATGTTTCAATCATCTCCTTGGCCATCCACAACACTGACCATTGCTGGTCTTCACGAGCAATGCTGGGACGCGATGTTCGAAAGTGTTCAAGTCTTGCGAATGCGTAGAGCATAAAAGTGTTGAAGTGCCACCGCCGCTTGCGACTGGTGGGCAGACCATCTGCCAGGAGGTCTAATAACATGGACTTCCCAGTGCCGACCTCGCCTGAGAGGAATAGCCCTTTGGGAGAGTCGATATCGACGGCAGCCTCATGGCTCGTCAGAATACGTGTGAGGGACAGACTGTCTCGTGGTCCCTCGGTCGACCTGAAGAACTTGGCGAAAAGAGGGTTGCGCCTGATGGGATGGCTTCTGACTGCCAGCCGGTCCGTCTCATTTTCCCTGGCACCGCCGATAGACTCGGTTATCTGTCGGAGCTTTGTCCGGTACTCTGTGGACGGCTGGTAGTCTTTCAGCCGGACGTAGAGCTTTTGCAGGTGATGAGCCAGGCGGTGCTGCGCGGGGTCGGGGTGAAAGGTGCCGGTTGCAAGAAGGGCATTGTACTTTACAAGTGGGTCGGTGATGGTCACAGCCGTTCCGAGACGCTTCATTATTTCTAGTGGGTGTGAAGAAACATGTGCGCAAGATATGCGAAAAGAAACACAAGGAAATAAATATTCTATAACTTTCTAGCCTTCAGGTGGTGCAGCCAGCCATTGACAGAGCATGGAGCGCTGGAGGTTCATTGAAACTGATGAAGTTGCAAGCCAGGATCAAGACCGAGTCGATATCGGAGGGTGATGATGCAGTCGACTCGGGCCTGAGTCGACACTATCTGGGGATATCGGCCACAAGTGAGGCTCTGCAGGCGAAATGATGTCACGCGTTAGCGTCAGTTCCAGACCAGGCGACAGACAAGAGCTTCAGCACTGCGCGTCCGGAGCAGGGCAACCTTGGCATAGGAACAACGAGGAATTGTTTGTTGAGTGCGTTCAAGTGCAAGACAAGGCTCACAATGTGCTTTCGACACGCGCGTTATGGAATCTGCTGCCGGCCAGCTTCGAGTGGCTTTGTTTCACTGAGCTCTACCAGCTCCAGCTCCCGCTCCCGCAACAGCTGCATGCGTGGGTTCGCGTGGTTTGGAAGCTCCAAGAAGGAGAGAGTGAGTGAGTGGGGCTCTCATCCCTGCAACAGTGTGGGTGAGTTACCACAGCATGCTCGACGTTTCGAGTCTAGCGTTGTGGAAACGGGGCAAAGCTGACTGCCAGCACGGGCCAGTAGCAACTGGTGATTTTTTGACCCAGGTCAACACGGCCCAATCACCTCTGCCCGCGGCTCACCTTCATTGCCCATCAGGACCGTCAGGACCAGTGCCTGCAGCTCGAGGTTCTTCCCTTGCTGGATTTGACCCTTACCCATCTTGGCCTGGCACCCTGGGGCCAGACAACAACATTTGGTGGGTGAGCCATCTGCAGCGTTGATTCTGCCGGTCCATCCAACCAAGAATTTACACAACATCTCGCCCGCGCGGCCCCCCCATCCTCACCTGCATCAGCACCCTCGTCGTCCTGCACGCACGCACGCACACGCAGCGATCCTTGACCCCCTCACCGTCATGGAATAGACCATCGCAGCCATCACATCTGCATCGACTTTGCCATCGCGCGACCTCTCCCTCCCCATACCAACGCTGCTTGGCGACACCCATCACCAGCGCGACCGCCCCGACCGACAGACTCCGGCCGCCCGGCACGCCACGAGCTGTAACACACATCCGCCCCGTTGTCCGCCGTCGCAATGTTCTCGCCAAACCAAAACAACCAGAGCGGCCCTGCCATGGCCACCCGAAGTCGACGGAGGCAACGGCCTGTCAGCTCCGACAACAGCCTGACACAACAACCAAAGGCCAAGCGGCAACGCCGTCCTCTGACCGATTCCACCTTTGTCAATCCGGACCCCCAAAATGCGCAGCCCCCGGAGATGCTCGAGGTCAAGAACGATAAGATCGCGAGACTGCCCTCCCATCCCGACGGCATTGAAAATGTCCAGACCTTGGCGACCAAATCTATGCGACGAGAGGTTGCCGTCAGGCCAAAGAAGCCTAAGCAGGCCGAGAGAACAAGCAAGAGCGACGGCAGCGTTGAACTGGTGCGTGAAGCTCAACACATCATAGCAATCCATCCCCTCGAGTGCCAGGGCGTCGCGAGTCGTGCCTCCACTAACCTCGAGTCTCTAAACAGGCGAGATCCAGCGCGTACACCGTGAGCAAGCTGATAGCCCTGCCGGATAGAATCCGCGCAGACTCTACAGGTGGGTACCTTGGGCTTCCATCAGCCATAGTCCCGCACTGACTAGCCACATCTAGGACGGCAACACGGTGCCATCGACACTTCCAACGGCTACGGCCTTTGCCTCACCCACACCCACGCCTTGGTCTGGCAATATGCCGGGTCCACGCCCTCGCCCGAGACATTCGCTTTCACCCTGCCATACCCCTCAAAACATGCCACCGAACCTCTGCCTCTTGGGTCGCTCGTTTCAGCAGGGACCTCTACCGAAGAGCCCGGACTGGTGGTAGTAATGCCCGTCAGCGGCAGGGTTTCTTTTTGGGAGCACATCTCCAGCGCAGCGACTCTCGATTTTATTCGGCAACAAAGGAACGGCGTCGAGGACACAGTACCGGGCCTGTTTGGTGGAGAGCACGTCGTCGATATCACAAAGGCCGATACCGCTGGATTCATCCTCTCGCTGAGCAGTGGACGACTAGCACACCTGAGCGTTCGAGACGGCCAGGGCAAGCCTTCGATATCGATCCAATTTCTCCAGGCTACGTGGGGCCAGTCGTCCGGAGCCTGGCCAAGCGTCTTTGGCAGCATTCGCAATGCCATCAAGTCAGCTGTTTCACGAAGCGATATTGCGGCCGTGAGGGTCAACCCCTCCAGCAGACCTGGACCTAAAAACGTCGTGGCAGCAACCAAGGCCGGCAGGCTCCACGCGTGGAGAGTCCAACGTGCTGGGCATCACGAGATCATCGCCAACATCGATGCACGTGAATCAATACTGATGGGCCTCCAATCAGTCCTACCCACCATCCAGAACAATGTGGACTTTGAGGTCATTGACTTCACGTACGTTCCAAGAGGCATTGAGGCGAAGTACACCGATGCAAGCCGTTTGAGCCAAGCTCTCACTGTGGATGATGACTCCGTTCAGCATCTGCTGCTCCTTGTATCTCTAAGCAACAAGCGCCAGTCACAATACGCTCTTGTCGAAGTTGTTCTTCAGGGCGAGACTCTGGATGTCGGGATGGTCAGGACAATCTCTTCGTACACCACCCCTGTCAATCCTTCCGCTACCGCACGAACTCGCCTCTGTTTGCCAAGACCAGGCCTGGTTGCTTTCGTCGTATTCGACCGTGCTGTTGTGATGGCGTCAATAGCAGCGCCGCCTGAGACACCAGATTCGCAATTACAAGGGGAGAACCACATCCTGCCAGCCACGTATGAAGATGTGGTCGATCTGCGGAATGAGGAATCACTCGAAATAGTTGGCTCAGGCGTGGAGGAGCCTCTGGGCCCGGGTCAGGAGCCTGAGGCTCCGAGGTCTCACCGCATCAAGATCAAGAATCCGACCGTATTGCTCATGATTCGCGGCGTGGGTGTTGTTCGAGTCGCCCTCACAGATGTCGACAAGTTTGCCAGCGAAAAGCCGCCTGAGGTGACTGCGAGAAACAAGTTGGACCAGGCAGTCATTTTTGGGCTCAAGGACGACAACCCGTTAGTCTTCGAGGGCCGGAGAGAGTTAGCTTTCTCTGACGCGGAAATCGGCGAGGCGGCTTTAGATTTGTCAAACGACATCCTTGCCTCGAATACATCGGTCCTCACCGCCCTTCCAGCTTCGATAGAGCTAAACCTTCGACAGCGCGGCAGTTATCTCGACAAATTGATGTCACACTTGAACGCGCAAAAAGTGAAGCTCGACCGTCGGACCAAGTGGCATCTGCTTTTCAATGCCGAAAAACTGAACATGGCCCGAGAGCTGTGGAAGTTGCATGAGACATTCTTGGGCGAGAGACCACACAACGACAGGAAGACTGTTGTCTCGGAAGTCATAGAGTGCATCGCCGAGGAAGACAAGAAGAACCCTGACCGCAACGTCGGAGAGCTCGACCGAGCTCGCACATGGTTCGTCAACGACACGGGACGAATGGAGATCTTTGTGCCCTGGACATATCAGATGATCAAGCATTATCACAAGGAGCATCTCGCGGATGATCCATCTTTGACGCGCTTTCTTTACGAAGGCGTACACGTGTTCTACGAAATTCTTCACGGAGCTCTCGAGTACCGCCAACGCAACCTCAACTTCTACGGTCTTGGGGCTGAGGATGTTAAGAACGGCATCCTGTCCAAGCAGGCCGACTACCTTGGCCTGCCCGAGTTTTGGACATCGACTGCTTTTGTCACCAACAACCTCTTCCGCCTCAACCAACTCTGCCAGATGTGGCTTGATACGTACTACCCACCTCAAACCGCCCCTGGATCCCCATCTTCGAGCCTTATCGAGTCCCTTCGGAACATGATGCCTAGTCTGGCTGACCAGCTCATTGTGACTCTGACCGAATCAGTCAGCTGGGCTGAACCGAACGGCGACGAAGAGGCCTTGATATTCGCTGAGAAATGCAAGGCGATCCTGGCCGACCTGAGTGATCTGATTCTGAAGCTCAAAGACTACGGGCTTTGGGATGACGCGCTTCGACTTGCTGAGAAATACGTCAGTGTCAGAGCTCTTGCGGAACTGGTTGTCGGTCAGATCAAGGAGCTACGCAGCCAAGCTAAAGTGCGCGGTCTTGAGTCTCGGAAGGCTGTTGAGATCAACAACAAACTTGAGGAAAAGAAGCGACTCTTCACCGAGTACATGGATCGCTACGGCGCAAGCTTCGCATTTGAAGCGTACAGACTCTTGCTTGCTTATGGTGGCATTCAGATGGTGCTGGAATTTGCCGGATCTGATAAGAAAGGCTACGCCACCATGTTCCTAAGGAATGATGATCGCCTCGGCAAAATTTCTTGGATCAATGACATCGAGCGCGAGCACGACCTCGATTCAGCGGCCAAGACTCTCATCGGCGTGGGTCAGGCAGAAGACCAAGTGTGGAACAAGAAGATTGAGCTGAGCCTGGGTAAATTGACACTGCTGGCAGAAGGAGCTGGTGCTGAGGCTGAGGGGAACTCAGCTTTGGTCCGCAGCAAAGCAGCCAGGTGTGACAATCAGCTGGCGCAGGTTGAAAAGGATCTCGAGATTGTGCGCATCCAAGACCAAATCTACCAGTTGCTGGTCCCAGCCTTTCAAGACGCTGTCGACGACGTTGCAGCCGTCGAGCTGGCCATGCAGACCTTCTCACCCAAGATTCCGAAGAAGCATAAGGTGCTTTCGGATGATCTGCAGGAAGATCTCTTCCAGCTTGTCACACACAAGGCCATGCAGCCGCTGAGTCTCATCAATCTGCTAACTCTGATCCGCGTCGACGACTACGGCGTCGAGCCCGGTTTCTTGTTCTTCCAAGCACTTCGGCTAGCTGAGCTCGGCTTGAAGGGCAAGCAGAGGGAGGATGCCAGGAGGCTCATCTGGAGACGGTGCTACGTTCGCGACGACTGGACCAAAGTCAACTACACAGAGAACATGAGTGACCAAGCTGTGCTCAGCAAGCTGGTCGAGACGCAGCCCTACTGCACCATGGTCGCATGCCATCGGCACCGTAAGTCCCCACCGAGACTTGTTGCTTCAATTTAGCCTGTTTATCAAGTTACTGACAGTTCTTTCCAGACCTCAAGCAAGGCGGCAAAGAAATTGACTACATACTCTCACCAGATGCCTGCCAGGGTGTCTACACGGACCCCAACGTCGAAGTCCTTAGGTGGGAAGACGACGACTCGACCCTGCTGGAGAAGCGCGCCGACGCCATGCGGTGGGAGGACTTGCAGCTCAAGAAGTATGTCGAGAAGAACCAGCTCTGCCGCTGGGCCAAAGCGGCGTGGGAGTCGGCCAAGAGGGAGGTGATGGATGAGCTGGACGTTGCGACCGCGAACGGCGCGAATGGCGGGCCCGTGGCACCTGTCAAGGTGAACGAGCAGGGCAATGGGCACGTGGTGCAGAGTGTCGAGGCGGACGATGATGAGGAATAGGTGGCAATCCCGTCTGGCCCGGTGCCACCGAGGGACGGAGCGCAGAGCCTTGGGTTTCGAGCTCCCCTTGGGCCTACGTGAGGAGGCCACTTCCCCTTTGTTTTACTTGGTCATCATACAGACAGACACGCAGCTCGGATACAAGGTTCCGGTCTGATCTGCAGGCGTACGTGGCTTTGCTGTTTTCTTTTATCATTCTTGACTTTTTTCTTTTTACAAGGCCAAAAAAACAGGGACATGGCGGGCAAGGGGTCTGGGCGAATGGGTGTACTACCGGTCCGTGTCTATATATCATTCATTCATTTGGATGCTTTCCCGCTGCCCGGCTGACTTGGCGGCGTGGGTAATTATGGGAGACGGCAGATGTTCGGAGTCAAAAGCATAGCAAGAGCAGAGCAGAACAGAACAGAACAGAGAACCTTCGTTAGGGTGGGCTAGGCCCGCCTTTGTTTTTCATACTTCTGTGGTCTTTAGAAAATGCCTTTGTGTGATGTGTGAGTGTAGTGGTCTTCTGCTCGGGTGTCGAAGATAACTTCAAGTTGTGGGAGTGAGACCTTTTGGCTGGTTGGCAGTGGGTTGTGTTCCTTCACGGCACATACGGTCCCACTCAAAAGCTGTCGAGAGTAATATCGTGTTTACACTCAGCATTTGACACGCAGCCTTTAGGCCTAGAGGTTTCTCTTGTGCTTAGTTATATCGAAGTCTGGCACTGGATCCACCGCAACACTCAAAGGCTCACTCCTACGTCTTTTGCTTCTGGTACCTGTTGGGAAAGGTCAAGTTGACGCAATAACTCATGCGCTGGCGCTCTGCGAGAATGTTGGGGCAGGCAAGCCGTCATCTGCGGTATCTATCTGGCTGAAATGCTTTGCGGTCATAGACCAGCTAGGTAGGACGTGAGCATATTCATGTTAGTTTACGTGTCCGCTGGACTGAGCTCCAGGTACGGGATTAAATTAAACCCCAGTGGGTGCCTCATGTGGAGGATCTCTGATGTCTTGGAAGTGGTATTATTTTCTGTGTCTGAGAGTCAAAAATGCGCGTTTCCAACCTCAATAGCTGATGCATAACGTCTCTAAGCACCACAGGGAGCCTTCCATCGTCAAGAATCGAAGAAGTATGGTGGCCTGTGCCTTTTCTTTCTTTCATCAGGCTGCAGCTCATCATCAAATTCGCTCTCGAACACATTCCAGATTATGGAAGTGGGCGTGATCTCCCGTGCCACCTTCCCCCAAGCACCCTCATCATAGGGCTGGCTGCCCGTCGGCCTTTTTGCGCATCTCGGCCACAGCATCCTGGTAATCAAATATTTCCGGCCAATCCAACGGACGTTGCTGCAGGCCGCGTATCAGTCTCTGACTATTCCACTCACGTGGTGAGGCATGAAGCGGGATAATTGCGGGTAGAGTAGCGTCTTTCGAGGGTTACAACAGCATCAGGTAGCCGCTTCGCCCCCCCCCCTCCAAGAGAAGAATCTGGAAAAGCATAGAATAAGGCAGAGAATAAAAGGCAAGACATCTCAAAATTTTCCAACAAAGGGGGACGGGGAAGGCTTCTTCAGGACAAGAATTATCGACTCACATCACAGCGAATGGAGCGTGGGCGAGTTTCTGGGATCTCCTGACGGTACTTATAGATGTGGTACTCGGCCACACCCTTGTATGCATCCCAGCGCCACTTGTTCTCAGTAGTGATTTCTATCGGAAGAGGGCAGCGCGCAGGATCTGGACTTCCTGACACGAGGAAATCCACGAGGTCGTTGAACTGCTTCTCCGTCGGCGGCGACAGAGTTCTTGCCCGAGAGCCGTGTATGTATATTCCGTTTCACTACTCAGCCGCTCTCAGTATTAAGTTGTGTCCTTGTGACATCAGGGAGACCCCTTTTGTCTCAGCCTTCTAACCACGCCTGGTTCAAGCCGCAGAGGGAAGGGGTTTGCTCACCTCGTCTTCGGTCTGCCCACGGTCAAAGAGCACTACGCCCCCAAATATTCGGAGTTCAGCCCAATACGCTGCCACGTCTGCTAGTCCATTGGAAAATCTCTCCGGGTCCTTGTATAATGGAAAGAAGAACAGGTTGGGCGGTCCACATTTGGTAACCTCTCGTCCACGCGCATCTTCCGGAAGGCGTGCGAGTCTTTCCGACCTCCGGTCCGCTACCACTCAGCGTGCTTATGTACTCCCTCGTCAAGCTGGTATAGATAGGCGGCGATGTCATGGCACGCGATCACAATCAGTTCCAACAGTCGGAGCTTCCAGGCAACGGAGCCTAATTGGGTATCCTGGTAGGCCTGGACTACCTGCGAACTCAATCAGCCTTACAGTACATGCGGCTGTAACACAGCTTTTCAGGATACGCAATCTCAACCTTAGGTGGGACCTCTAGGGACAGAATGTCGAACTGTGAGCGGAAGCTGCGCGTCTTCTCCAGGACGCCAGGGCATAATTCCTCATGCTGCATTACCGGTAATCCTTCACGAAACCAGTGATCTTCTGCATGGACGCCAGCAATTGGCATTCCATCGACGATCTGAGCATAAGTCTGCTCGGCCATTTTTGCTGAGAGGAGATTGTTCAGGGCCTGTTCTAGAGGCTCGAGATGCTCAGCATCGAGGTGTTGGAGAGACATGTTGATACGAAGCAGTTGCGAGGCGATAGTGCGTGCGGGAGGATGGGCTTTGTGGCTGAACTCAAGATGCCATGAAGCGCTGCGAATTGGAGGGAAAACGTCAATTGTAAAGACAGGTGAGTGGTCAGCCATTCATTACAGAGACTCAGGTCAGGACTGACAGCACTCCAAAAAGCGCTCGCGGCTTATGGGGCTTGGATTCTGCGGTCCCAACGGACGTGGCCAAGGTTTCCACAGAGACCCCAAGGGTAAGCGGTATTGCTTTTCTGTCCTGGCTGTATCCGCAATAGTGGAGTCTTTGCTGACAACAATCTAAGCTATGATACCAAATCAAAACTATGCAACAGAACAAATGCTGTATTCCCTGGCAATGACCAATCCATACTATCTACGCTCGAGCATACAGCTTAGTTCCTAATGAAGCCGTAAGATTTGTTATCAAGCCAGAGTGATGTCATATTCGCATTCGATCGCAGGCCTTTAGCCATTGGAAGCCTCCTTGCTTGCTATAGCAAAAAATCAGGAAGATCGCGTGCTAGAAGGCTAGAGATTGCCTCTAGTATATACATGCCTAGGTATACTTTTAAGACCCTTACCGAAATGCCTCTGCCGTCAGCCCTAATATATTTAAGTGATACAGAAGTTATTATGTCAATACCACTGCGACGTCAAGGTCACTGTTGGGCGGATCCGTTCGGGTCGTGATGACATGTCAGTCACACTCCCACACACATCAATCGTTGTCTTCCTCGTCCGTGTCAGACAAACCGAATTCTGGCACTTTGTACTCCACGAAGTCGACCAGGACCTCCACGCCGACCTGCCTTCCCAGGCTGATGACAGCCTCCGCGTCGAGCTCATATTTCGACGCAGGGCCATCCGAAACCTCCACCCTATGCTCAATAGTAACCTGACGCAATCTGGGAGCAGTGGTCTCCTTGTCATTGAGGAGAGCGAGAATCTCGAGCTGCCACGTGCGCACGGGGAATTGGGTGTACGCAAGCGCGGTTGTGCAGGGGCATTGCAAGGGGGACGGTGAGCTCCTCGAGCACCGTGAACGGCTTCAGGCTTGGTAACGGCTTTTCCGCGCGGTTATTGGCCCAGCGGATGGTCAGCCTTCTTAGAGAGTGGCGCTGGTGCCAGAGAGCGTACCAAAGTACTCGATTTGCGAGTAATATTTTATACGTATCTCCGCAATAGGTTGGATCGAAGGCCCATTCGGAGGGTAGCGCAGCGTAAGAGTTCAACGTGAGCTTTTCTAACGCGCTTGGGAGTCTCAGGAGCGAGTCTATGGTGAAGCCATCGACCGTCACGAAGTCGAAGATCATCTCGGTCACTGCTGACTTGCCTGACCATTGTGACCTCTCACGTTCACTCATGAGGAGGAAATGGTGGCCGGTATTAAGTAGCGAGGTGTAGAACGTGCGCATCTTTGGGAGCAGCAAGAAAGGCAGTAGCAGCCTTGGATCAAATGCGTTCCCAGCTCTATGGTCTCTCAGTATCAAGGAGAACTCTTGCAAGTTGCGCAGGGCGGGCACCTTGCCCGCTGCCCACACGTCGTTGGGCTCTTGGAGCAAGGCGCGAAACAGCCACTCCCGACGAGTTTGCTCGGCCAAGCTTTCCTCTTCTAGGAAAGCCAGATCAATCTTTAGAGACTGTACATCTGGCAGAAGGAATAATAACATGGCACGAAACATCGATGGGTGCAGACCGTGAGAGCCGAACCTTTCGGGGCCAAGGCTTCGCCAGATCTCCTCTCTTGAGACTGGGCCGTCGCGTGACACTAGACCAGCTACTGCCTCGGCGAGCTGGCCCTGACCCGGTGGTAGAAAGCCATAAGGGTCGTTCTCGAACTTCTCGTCGTCTAAAGTGCTGAAGGAGAGAAGGCGAACATGCCTCGTCAAGTGCGGGTAGCGCAGAAGAAGTCCGAGGTGCTCGGCGTAAGCGCACGGGTTTCCATAGTACAGGTCGGCGACCCTGTATAGAAACGGCTCGGCACAAGCTCGAAGCAGCCGACAGGCTGAGGCCAAGGCGAGAAGGCAGCGAGTGTCGGGCCTGTGGTTGAGGATCAGCTCATTCGCCTCGGCCTGGACGCTCTGGAAGAAACCCTCCAGCCTGTGCGAACCGTGCACTCCATGGAGGAACGAGTCGGAAACAACCCTGCCGAGGCTTTGTTCCCTGAATCGCTGCACGAGGAGCGCTTCGAGCTGATCACGCTGGTGCCGTATGCTGATATTCGTGACGTCAAAAGCGTGCTCTGCCAGCTATTGTAACGGCGGGAGACGAAAACGCCACACTCACTCTGAACGGCTGCCGCTATAACGAACAACCTGGGCACCGCCAAGGGCGTTCAACGATGGGTGGCGTTGCACGCCTTCATCCACAACGTCCCCGGGTGGGCACTTTAGCTCCACCGTCACAGTCTGGCCCAGGTTGTCGAGCTCCGCTGTGATGCAGACCTCCTCGACGATCAGTGTCAGAACCTCGGTCGGCAGGTGTAAAAGTCCTGGCATTGTCGAGTTCGAGAACAGCGAGGGTATGGGGCCTGTGGATGTCGAGGCTGCAGATACCAATCAAGTTGGAAACACTTTGATTGCAACGAGACGAGCTCCATCCTTTGCACGCGTCAAGTTTAATCTGGAAGCAACGGCACAGACCAATGGCGATATGGGCGGTTTTTGGTGGCTCGTTGCTTTTTTTTTTTTTTTTTTGCCTCATTCCCCCTCATTCTCGTTGGCCTGCTTGCTGCACGACGAGCAGCCGACACCGCCATTGCTTATTCCCCAGATTGGCTCGATCAGATCCATCGTGCAGTTCCCCCTTCATCTTGCCGCTGTGGCGCCAAAGCTCGCATGTCGTCTGGCAGCGCGGCTGGCGAGCACACCTGGGCGTGCAGCCCAATGAAAGCGATGTGACAGCCGCCAGTGGACGTCGGCCGGCCGCGGGCACGGCGCATCCCTGCGGCACAGCTAAGCGAGCCTCAGGTGCAATATATTATGCCTCGCTCACTGGGAATTTAGAAACCGCCAAGCTGACGACAGTCAGCCCGAGCACGCACGCGGCTGCGTCAGGCAGGCCGGGGGGCACATGGCTTTCCACTGACACACGGCTCATACATATTAGTCGTCGTGGCCCGTGGGCGGTGGTGTTGGTGGTGATCGGTCACGAACGGACGGCACGAGAGCGAGCGCATTGGCATTGATGCAATGTCAAGCTTCCAATCGAGGGCCCATCTCCTCGGAGGATCCCTGGGATCATCAAGATTACGGTCGCATCAAGCACGGCCAGCTGCCCCCCAGCAGCTGGGGTACTGCGGGTCCCGATTGGCAGGCCTTTTCTCCGACAGCCTGCCATTGTTGAATGAGCTCATCTGCGGGCAGACGAGACTCGCACTTTCCCGCTCGATCGATGAGAGAAGACACCCAGGCAGAAAGCAAAGGGGAGGAAAGGGCGCCTGGGTAAGAAAAGATGCTGTGTGACGTGAGAAACAGGATCGGCGGCCAAGAGAGGCCCGCCCCGTTGGAAGACGGGCGATGCAGAAGCGGGTGCAGCCACATCACAGCACAGCACAGCACCAACACAGCACAACTGTCGCCTGGCAATTGCCGGCGATATGGATGCGTGTGAGTTGTTGTTGGTGTGTGCATGTGGCACGCCTGCACGCCTGGGGTCTTCTCGCTCGTCTCGTCCTGGTAGGCAAGGTAGGGTGGTATCCATTTCCACCCCAACGCAGGGCCGGAAGTCGGCCAGGGCAGACGGCAAGAGGGCAGGGAGAAAAGGGTCATCAGCCTTCAGCCCATCCGCCCGCCGGCCCATCATCATGCCCGGCTGATCCTGCTAAATAAGGTGGTCGACGGCTCCTGGTCACGACGAGCGAGCTGCCCCAGAGAGGTCTAATGATTCGCGTACTTGTTTGCGATGTGTATGAGCCGTGCCCTGTCGTCACCGGACGTTGGGCCCAAATGAGGCTTCCCGCCCCCATCAGCCGGTCCGGCGGGCGCAGAAGGGGGCACTTTATTGTCCTATCTAAAAGTCGGGCCGGTCGAGAGCCAACTCGTGCACCTGAGCTTGTCTATGTTGATGTTGATGGGAGATGGGCGACGTCGACCCGTTATGCATCTCAGCACAGCATAGTTGTAGCGCTGACGAGAGTGACGATCACGGCCTAGGGCAAAGCTTATGTCGCTGGGCACTGCTGGCTCCTTGCTGCTGGCTGCTTGCTGACTGACCGGGCGCCACTTCTGGCGAGTAGGGCTCCCAGATTGGGCGAGAGGACCTGGCCAGACAAGACATGTGCATATGCAGTCGGATGTGCACTTGCATCTGCATCTATATATAATCTGTACATAGTCTACCTAGACACAGCCAAAACGGTACTGTCTGTCTGTGTAGTCTATCTGGTTCGGTATTGTCATGACATTGGCACCAAAACACAGGCTGCACAGTAGAATTCTCAACCAGGCAAGGCTGTAGCATGGAGGTTACATGACAGCTCCGTACCACCTCCTTTTCCCCTATGTCCCGAGCCCTGTCGTTCATTGTCGAGTTGAGGGATATTGGGAGACCACAGGTATGGAGTACTGGCTGCATCTCACTCCCTTTTCCTCCCGCTCCTTGTCATTTTGCTGGGTTTGGGGGCGAGCGGGAAGGCCGTGCTGAGCTTGAACACTGCAAACACAAACAAATGGCCGACCACCTCTTAGCAACCTCCCAGCCAATGCCGACGCGTTTGGTGCTAGTGCGTGGGTGGGTTGCTGGCCAGCGGTCCCCCCTGTACCAAAGTATCTACACATCCCGACCCCCCCTTTGCAACCCTGGGACCCCCTTGTCCCCTGTTCTCCCAACGCCAGTGGCCGGCTCACAGGCCCAAAAGGCACCTAGGTACGACGCAGCCTGGCAGTGGGTGATTTGCCCCAGCCTCTAGCATCCAGCATTTACGCACTAGCCCAGGTAGCCCTCACGGTAGGCCTTCTGCTGTCGGTACGTTGTAGGTACTGTCAGGCCCGTTGGGGGCAGGGGGTTGGTGCTTGAACCCACTCATGAACCGACCGTTCTGCTCCTGTGCGGGTCGAGCCTTCCAATCTGTCCCCGCCTGAGCCAGGGCGTGCTTTCCTGTCAGCCTGTCGACTGTACGTAGCCTACCCCGTTCTGCCCGTACCTGCCGTGTCGTGTTCTGTCGTGTCGTGTCTGTGGCCTGTCTATGTCTCTCCTCTCTTGTCCTGTTCGTTCGTTCGTTCGGTTCCTTGCAACTGCACTGCAACCAACCAAACTGCCGCGGTCCCCTTCCCTCCTTTCCCTCTTCCTTCGGACTCTCTCCCTCTCTCCCCACAAGTCACGCCCGATTGACTTCAGCCCAGCAGCAGCCAGCCAGCCCAGCCCAGCCCAGCCCGGCCATTGGAAGCCCAGCCTGCTCAGCCAGCTCATCAGCCAGCTCAGCCAGCTCGACGCCGAGCCCGGCCAAGTTCGAGGCAACCTTCTTCACCTTCTCTGCCTCTTCTTCCTCAGCCAGAACGCAGGAGCAGGGGCCACGGTCAAGGTCAAGGTCAACTCCGAGCACCCGAAGACCTTGAAGGGACGGAAATCCAGCGAGGCAAGGAATAGCGGCAGATAGTCGTCACTTATTAGACCTGTCCGCCTGCACTTGCCCATCGGCGCCACCTAGCCCAAACAGGCGACAATCCATTCTGCAACGCCTCTTTTCTGCCTGCCTTATTATCATTGCTCGCTTGCTTGCTTCCTCGCTCGTCTCTCGACCGACCGACAACCCAGGACCTTCAGGACCCACGATCCGTCTTCGTTGAGGCCATTGCCTTGTCCTCCCTCCTGCCGCACACGACAATCCCTTTCTTTCTCGCCTTCACCAATTCTTCATTCCAGCCTATCGGTCTATGCCAGCATTCTAGAACCTGAGCTTGTACCTCCCCTTTCCCACTTCCAACGGGCAGCCAGCTAGGCGAACACGGGTACTTTGTATCTCTCAAGAGTACGAGCCTGGCCAGACGAGTGACCTACCCGAGGTACCTCTAGCCGTCCGTACATCGGGCAATTCTCCTGGCCACAACCGATCGCCGGCAACGCCAGCTTCGCCTCCTGTCAGGTCCCCTCCCCTACCCCCAAAGCCTGGTCAGGTCGTTCGTTAGGTCCTGCTGGACCCCAAAAAAAGGTGCGTACCGCGCGAACTGTGTGTGACTCGCGTTGCCCCCCCCCCGGTCCAGCCCATCGGCACCAAGCAATCAGCAGGCAGCCCTCTCTTGCTACAGCCTCCCCAGTGCCCAGACTAAAGGTTTCCCCATTTGTTACCACACCATCTATCCATCTCCTGGTTTTGCTCATGCATTGCTCTGCTTTCCCATCTCCACATCCTTCAATTGTCACCTTCCCGTCCCTTTCCCTACCTCCCATGGCAATTGAGACCACGCCTCGCCGTCACTGAAGCCCCGTGCCGTCTTTTGTGTCTTTCGGTCGTCGGAAAATGAGCGGCGTTGCCTTGCTGACCGCCCCTTTTCGCTTCAACTAGGCCCTTCCGTCCCGGGCCCGCTGGTAATTACCCAGCCGAAAATCACCACTCGGTATCGGCCACCCCTTTCGCCTCCATCTCTCGAACCATCCTTCATACCGTCACACGCTCTTCCTCGCGTCCGTAGAGGATTGGTCCTTCCGTCAAGATGGCCTCCTCCTCATCGAACGTCGTCGGTGTGCACTACAGAGTAGGGAAGAAGATTGGCGAGGGCTCCTTTGGTGTCATCTTTGAGGGAACAAACTTGTTGAACAATCAACAAGTTGCCATTAAATTTGTATGTTGCTCATGCGTCGCGATGTACTCGGCGGCTGGCTTGTCGTCCGCCTAGACGGCCAGACACTAACTCTCGCGCGCCCTAGGAACCAAGGAAGAGCGATGCTCCTCAATTGCGAGATGAGTACAGGACGTATAAGATCCTCGTTGGGTGCCGTAAGTCATCTTGGTCTTGATCGCCAGCACGCAGACTCACTAACCCATCCACGCAGCCGGCATTCCGAACGTGTACTACTTCGGTCAAGAGGGTCTTCACAACATTCTAGTCATTGACCTCCTGGGACCGTCATTGGAGGATCTATTCGACCACTGTGGGCGCAGATTCAGCCTGAAGACTGTCATCATGGTGGCAAAGCAAATGGTGAGCCGTTTCCAGCGGGCTGTCCTTGCCTGGCATGTCGCGAGGCTGCGCTCTTGCCATGTGCTGACATCTCACTGTAGCTTTCTCGCGTCCAAACCATCCACGAAAAGAACCTCATCTACCGAGACATCAAACCCGACAACTTCCTGATCGGCAAGATACCTAGCAAAACTGAGAATGTTATCCATGTTGTCGACTTCGGGATGGCTAAGCAGTATCGGGATCCTAAGACGAAGCAACACATTCCCTACCGAGAGCGGAAATCTCTATCTGGCACGGCACGATATATGAGTATCAACACCCATCTTGGACGAGAACAATCGAGACGTGACGACCTCGAGGCCCTCGGTCATGTGTTCATGTACTTCCTTCGAGGAGGGCTTCCGTGGCAAGGTCTGAAAGCTGCGACTAACAAGCAGAAATACGAGAAGATCGGGGAGAAGAAGCAGACCACACCCATCAAGGACCTCTGCGAGGGTTTCCCCGCCCAGTTCGAGACGTACTTGTTCTACGTTCGGAACTTGGGCTTCGAGGACGCACCTGACTACGACTACCTGCGCGGCCTCTTCACCGAAGCTGCAAGAGAAAACAAGATCGACGAGTCGGACAACAAGTTCGATTGGGATGAACTCCTGCAAAGGGCCCAAACAAAGAAGGGCGAGTGGAACCGACCCGGCGCGCTGCACAACCCTGACCATAGACCAGGTCCCTCCAATATGGCCCTCCACGACAACTCGCGGGGCGGCAACACGACGCCTCACCTGTCCGACCCTCGGGCACGCCTGACAATGGACCGTTTAAATGCCGCGCAACCCCCTCCTCCCTCGCCGATCAAGCAGAGTCCAAAGGGAGACCGGCGAAACGCCCCAGACCGCTTGATGATGCAGAACCGAGCCGGAGCCGGGGGTCTCCGCGACATGGCAACCCCGACAGGTTCTACGCAGGCCCAATTCCAGGCCAGTACCCAGAACCTGCCGAAACCAATGAACTCGACGCAGGCGATGAACCAGCCCACGCCGACAACTACTGGAAGGCAGCCTGAGCCCCAGCAGCCGACCGGCTTCCAGAAATTCATGAAGGCCATCTGCTGTGGCTAGGCGCCTGGTTCTGACTGTTGTTCTTTTGGTCCGTCTCAGTCTGGAGCTCTACGATAATTGTAATCTGGATCGCCTAATCCTGGGCGCAGACGGTAATGGGCGCGCCCTCGCCTTTCTGGTTGCGGGGAATGGGTTCCGCAGGATGTTTAGACGGCCTTCGAAGGGGGGATTCATCTTCGATACGTCCCGGATTTTCTCGGTTATAGAGGCATACTCATGACTTTACGCTCGCTCATATCCCGGTTTTTCTCATATACGCATTTGAGACCTTGTGGTCCCTCCTAATCAATTTCCCACCTTACGAACGTGTATTCACCGAACCCCCCGTTCAACCGACCGGCGTGACCGCCCGATCGAGCGCAGCTTCGAGGCCTGCCCATCACAGTTCCGACGCGGCCTACAGGGGCACAATCCATGAGCGGACCCAGACACGAGCACAACCCGAGGCGAGCTTGGCCAGCGGCTTGATGGTCCCACCGCTCAAGCCCATTCTCCTCCGGCCGGCATTGATAACTCCATTCCGACGCACTGTTTCTGTCATCACACGACATACACATGGTGTGTGAATACGGCGTCGACAGTGGTTCTCATGAAACCAAAAGGTCTCTACACATTGGGCTGTGAAGAGGCCTTGCTCACCTGTCTCCAGCTTTGCCATTGTATATCATACTTGGACAGCTTTTACGACACTACGAGGAGCGAAGATTGTTGCAGCGACGGAGAGCTAGAGTGTAGAGGGAGTTCAGCCTCGGCGCAGGAGACATTCGATTGCGAGAGCGATTCGGCAGCCCCATCTTGTCTGTCGGTGATGAGGCTGAACTTTGAGGTCTTTCTATTTCATTGCTGGCGGAGTCTGGACTAGCATAAGGAGTTGTTCCTTTAATACTGTTTTCTCTTCTCAATTTATTTCATCGATGCAGCAGTACGGGAGAGCAAAAGACGGAGGTGGGCACATGAAGGAGGGAGCAGAGTGAGCGGAGAAGGCGGCGGGTTGTAGATGGGCAAAACAATAGGAATCTAAGGAAAGCATCGAAAATAACGATCGTGGTTCCCATGCGTGCCGGAAGCCAGATGTCGACCAGCATGAGAATTGCAGCTCGCCGCGGTGAATTTGCCTCAGAAGACAGACTTCGACGGGCTGGCTGCGTCCGGCCGGCCGTGATGCAGCCGGACATGGTTGTGTCTGAGGCAGCCAAATGCCCCCGGAGGGCGACTTCTGAGCTCCCATCAAGGCTTGATTGCCACCAACTGCTCCGGTTGGCTCATAAATGACTCTTGCCAAGCTTGGCTGGGAATTTTCAAACCGGCAATGGCCATTAGTCGCTCGTCCCAGATGATGGAAGAAAGGAAAATCCGCTTCTCGAAACGGTAGCTTGAATGTCAACCGTAAAGCCCGAGCACCCGACTCCCAACATACAGCGGTCCGGTCGCTGAGGCCAAGTACCTGGGTACCTGGACTGGTCCCGCAGCTCTCTCTATCAGGGGGATGGGGCAAGGGGTGCCAGCGAGCTATGACCGGGGGCCGTCTTGATTGAGCTTCCCGACTTTCAAACATCTGGACTCTGCTGCTTCATGTCTGCCGCGCGGGGCCTCCACCGAACCCTCGACCACGACGATAGCCAGCCATGGCGACTGCGATACCCTCCATAGCCTGCCTAGGCGTCATAGGCCGAAATGTAAGTTCTACAAAGGAAAACCCCCCGCGCCAAACGCCTTGGAATCGAGGAGGCATCAAATCTGACCCGAGTAATTCCCACCACAGAACAACCCCCTCCACATCTCCATCTTCCCCTCCCACGACCCGGCCACGAATACGCTCAAGCCGATCCGCACGCCGCTGCAGTTCTCGCTCCTCCTGTCCTCGACGCTCGACATCTTCGACCTGCGCGCCAAGCACTCGGCCGTCGGAGGGGGCGGCGCAACCTCGGGCGGCGGTGGCGGGGCTGGCTCGCTGTCGGGGGACTATGGCCTGCTCCACGCCGTGGACGAGAGGCTCGCCGCGTACGGGTACGAGACCAACACGGGGGTCAAGTTCGTCGTGGTGGTGGACATGCGGGGGCGGCGCATCGACAGCGCCGCCCTGCCGTCCTCTGCCTCGTCGACGTCGGGCGCCGCAGGCGCAGGCGGCAACACCTCCACCTCCTCGGAAGACGCCAAGGGGTCCGGTGGTGGTGACGGCGGCGGCGGCGGCGGGATCAGCGCGGCCGCGAGGAGGGGCGCGGCGGCGGTGGTGGGCCTGCGCGAGGGCGACATGAAGCCCGTGTTCCGCGCCATGCAGACGGCGTACGTGCGGCTGCTGCAGAACCCCTTCTACGAGCCCGACGAGCACGCGCCGCTCACGGGCCACGGGGGCAAGAGGATCGTGTCGAGGCGGTTCGGGGCGGACATGCGGCGCATCGGGGAGGGGTGGACCGTTGGGGTCACGAGTCTGTGAAGGGGGAGGGGGGGGGGCAAGGAAAGAGAGAAAGAGAGAGAGCATTAGAAGAAGATGCTGCTTGTTTTTTGGTGCATGGACCCTGCTGTGTTGCCTTCCATCTGATTTCGCCGGCGTCGGTGGAGTATTCGAGATACAAACTGCTCGGGGAGCTGAGTCCCTTGAGATCATGGGGAGCATCTATCTGGCTTGGGAGAGGGTTGCGGAAGCATCGTCATGGCGTTCTAGGGGTCATTAGAGGGAAATGGAATACCATCCTGCTACCATTCTAACATCTGGCTTATATGGCTCGGGACATCCGTGGGCTTTCGTTGCCCTACGCCCAGCCTTCAGATCTGGGTTTCCTCCTCCACCGCAACCCACGGAGTATGGCTCCTTCTTGTCCGGTATTTAAACTATCCGTATCTTCCTGTTGCGTGAGATTCATGCCGCCATCGCATAACTCTGTCTGGAGCCTGTGGGCAGAGTACCGCGAAACCTTTCACAGACCCTCTTCATAGCCGTATCAGCTGCAGTTACTGCATACATATCCGCTGGGCTTTTACATGGTATGTGATGTTGCTACAATTTGAGGTAGGCCAAATACGCCGATTCCATTCCTGGGAGCGCTCAGAGTTTAATAGGGGCTTTCCAAGTGTGAAGAAGCATCAGCGTGCCCATGGATGCGGATGATCTGCATTTACCCAGGCTTTCAGCCTCACCTCTCAATGCCCATGCTTGGTCTTCCCCCCTTCTCCTCTCAACCCCCACTCCCTCCCTCCCCCCCCCCCAAAAAAAAAGCTCGCCGTGTCTCAACAGCAAGGCGTTTTGCCCAAAATGCTGCTCGAAGGTGGTGGGGCCGATGGGACATGCTTATCAGCAGGACGCTGCGGTGCTAGGCCGCGGCCCACAACCCTTGTACAGTCAAGCGAGGCGAATGATGGCTGGCTGAGTTCAGCACTTCCCCGAGCTGCAACATGTGGAGGGAATCGAAGTCGATCTTTCCAATGGGCAAATTTGTGTGCAGGGAAGGCTTTCTGCAAGAAAGTATCGATTTCTCAAATGGCTTACTATCTGCCCAGCTTGTCTGCCTTGCGCCCGGGCAATTTGCTTTAACAGGCAGGATACCATCCAGTCTCCCCTTAGGCATTTTTATTCACCTTGTTTAAGGAGCTGGAAAGCAAGCACGACTTGATTGCTTCCAAAAACTCGTACACCAATATCTAGTTTCCGCGAACATAATCTTTTCATAAACTTATTCCATTCACCGCATAAACAACATGGCTTCATTGGATCATTACTTGGCGTCAAGACAGTGCCTTTGGGATAAAAACTCTTCTTCAGGCAACGACTTCGTCTCAGTATCCGAGATCTTGCAATCGAGGTGCCCAGAATCTGATCATCATACTTTACACCGAATGCTGAGGAATGATGAGCTTCCAGCATGGCTCGAGGACACCAACAATTCCCATTCCATCGACGGAAGTTCCAACGGGAAGAGACGCGTGCTTCGAGTAGTCTGGATTCCACATGACAGGCGGTCTAGGGTTAACGATGTCGAAGACGGCGTGCTTGAGCGACTTACTCAGAGATTCAACCACGAACTCGCGCAGTCGAGATTTCGGGCTACATTCGCGGGTGCTGGCTCGGTGGTAGAGGCTTTTGGTGGGACGCGGACGTTTTACTTTTGCAATCATCCACACCTCGGTGTAACATGGTCACAGGACTCGGTATCGGGGCTCACAAGTGTCATTTGCGTTGCCCAACAACGCAAAATCGACATTTTCCAGGACCTTGTATCTTGCCGATTCATCCAGGTTCTGGCTGCTATCGCACACATCCCGGCCTTGTTGTGTGCCATACTATTATGCAGAGAAGTCGACGGTCTTATGAATAATATCAAGCAGCAAGTACGCCAAACGGAAGTGCGTACTGGACATCATGGTTTTACAACTCGTGTTGAGCGGCCAGCCACCGCTGAGCTTCTCTCCCTCTCAGCCGAAATGAGTGGCTGCTTGTCCAACCTTGCCGTCATCACCAGGAGGCTTGGTATTGTGCACGAACTGGAAAGGTTCACTCTTGAGGAGTTTAGAAAGCTGCGCAAGGGGGCGAGCCCAGGCGAAGAGAGCACCGTCGCAGAGCAATTCGTGACCAATGTCAAGACGATACGGCAACATTCAATCATGCAGAAACTTGACACCGAGTTCTTTACATGCCGTGCTCAAATCCAACAAAATGCAGTAAGTATCAATTACCATTACTATGCTATAGTGACATATTATTAAGTTATATAGGTCGTACATCTTATTGCTTCAATTGACGCTTTAGCTAGCCAAGAGATTGGGAAAGACGCACGCTACGTGGCTATTCTTGCGAAGAAGGACTCGGCAAGTATGAAGGCTCTCGCCCTTATAGCCACGTTCTTCATACCACCATCATTCGTGTCCTCACTCTTGAGCATTCCCTTATTTGATTGGGAGCCCTCGGATGACTCAAATGATTTCAAGGCCGCAATGTCCTGGGGGGAGAGGTTTCTTCTATATCTCAGCATCACTGGACCTTTGATGATAGTGACATTCTTTATTTGGGGGTTGCTTGTACATGGGAAAAGGCTCATACACAAGGAAAGACAACCCTCAGAAAATATTGGACAACATCCTAGCTCACATGGATCCGAAGTTTTGTCTCTGCTTGCAAAACGGATAGTGGACTCGCCCTCGTCAGTGAGTGGGGATTCAGGTATATCTGTTGGCGGTTATTAGAGGAAAATGTTAAGTAACGCCTTACGCACGTGTAACTGGGAAGTATATGCAGAATAAGATGTGTATGCATTTCTCAACAGGAGGCTATTTAGTGTTTTCTATGGCTCGCTCAGTACTTTGCTCTTTCAGCACCTTTGAACGGTTCCTCCGGCGTATCTTATTCAAAAACTTATCCCTCTCGTGTTTTGTCTCTCGCTTCCATCTGTCTCGTTCTCTTCCGGTGATGAAAGCTATCCCAATCGGCCCAGTCCCCAAAATCACTACTCGTTCACTCACATACAGAATCCCATGCTCTGAAGCGGTTGGATAATAGTATAACGGAAGATAATTGATCTTCCTACCCAGCTCTAGAAGTTTTGCACCCGCTAGGCCGCTGCATAGAGACGCAAAAATATCGAGACAAGTCAGAACTCGCAGTCGATTCAAGATCCATTGCTTCGGAGACAAGATGCGGCCTTCGCTAGATGAATATCTTTCCCAGCTCCGCATGAGATGCGTCTGGAGGATGGATATGGAGTCTCGTGGCAGTGCCCAAAGTGCGTCGCTTATGGACATGTCGTGTATTCTCGTCGAGTTCTCACCTTCGGGATCGGGGTCTTCGTCGCAAAGGACCTTCCATGCATCTGACGGCGCCGGACAGGCTCTCTCCCTGAATTGCTCGGCATACTCGATCGTATCGCAATCGTCCCTCTTTTTATGATAGAAGTTCCAGAACAGACTCCGGTCTTGGGGCCGAAGAAGCGCCATTGGGGTGTCAATTTCGGGCCCGAAACTGAGTAGGTACCTTGGCCAAGGCCACTGTTTCTTCATCCTGGCCCTCTCGCCGTCGTAAAAGTCTCGGGGAATCCTGTGAAAGAGATTTGAAATGGTATCTTCAAGTGGGAGCAAAAGATTCCGTGAGAACTGCTGGCAGTTGTTGTTGTTCAGGTCCCATCGTAAAGGGTTCTCGGGTTTTGAGATCGCATCGGCAAAGGACCTCAAGTAAATGTCGACTTCATTCCCGAACAGGCCTCTCAATCCTTCAACAACTGGGTGCGAATGGCGGAAGAGCCTTTTTCGATTTGCAGAAACGCCCTTTCCTGGCAGGTAAGAAAACGATTCTGCTTTGTTTATGAAGCACTCTACTACCTCGTCCTCCTCCTTACGAAAAGCATCGATATGACCAGTGAATGCTCCGCCATAGACCTTCTTGACACTGCCGAGAAAACCTTTGTCCCTGCTTCCTCTCGGCTTCGTACAAAACATTCGCAGACCTGACGCCTTGTCGTCAAATATGCGCATTTCGACGTCTTTCATTTGATCGTCTTCCGGATCAAATAGTAGCTTTGTTTGGGGCTTCATGCATAAACTCGGTAGTGGCCGTCTTGATATCAATGCACCGGAAGAAGTGCTGGATGACTTCAGTTTGTGTTGAGAGTAATTCAGACATTTTGAACTCACTTTGCAACACCATTCTCTATCATCAAAGGACCGAACATCATTCCGAAATGTATTGGGCCGGCATTGGCGTATCGGGCTGGGTCGAGGAGGCTATTGACCGCTCTTCTGAGAGCCGGCTTGGCCACACCGTGGTTTCGCAGTTCTCGATCCCTCAACTTGGACTCGAAGGCTAGACCGGCTTCGGTGAGTCAGCAATTGAGAGCAAGCCCGAGATCTGGCAGAGTTACCTTTGTCTTTTGATTTGGTGGCATAGCTTTTACGCATATGGTCGCGCTCACATTCTCCTTCACCTCCTGGGCCCTCGATGCAGTTGGGACACAATCGAAATGGTACACGACGTAAGAGAGTTCGGAACTGCTCAGGTAACTCTGCCGGTTGCAGTTCAACCCCTTGTTGGTCTGCTATGAAGGGAATTCCTGGCTCGCTGTTGCATGTGAGTTTCGAGGTTGGTAGAACTTTATCGCGGAGAAGCCCTTGATTAATCTCCAGAATAATAGTTGAAAAGAGAGGATGAATATTACCTCATGACACAACCTTTCTCGCATTCGTACCAAAAGTAGCCACGCAAAGAATTCAAGCAGCGGCTGCATTTCATCTCTCTATAAATCGGCCCATGCGAATTGTCGTCAAGTGTAATAACTTCGCCTATGTTTTTCTTTGGTTAGTATGTTCTATGTCTGAATCGTTCTCGGGAAGACTACCATGTGGGTAATGATTATGGCGCCCAATGACTCGATTAACGTTGCCCATGCTTACGTGGACATGGTCAATATCGAGTAGTCCTATATTTCAACGCGGATCAGCGCCAGCGGTAAGTCG